ACATGTATTAATTCAACTTTAATCTGAGTTTCTGGACAAAAAAAAAGGTAAGCAGTTGAAATTTCATTCTAAAACCCATTTTTTTTGGTTTTTTCATGGCTTATGATCTGTCAAATTTGTAGTTTTCTTTATTGATTTTGAGTGTTTATCTTAAAACTCAAGTTTCTTGGTTCTTTGCTCTTGATGTAAAGCGAACACATTTGTGGAGTCGTTTAAATATGTTGGATTTTAAATATATTGAATTTTAAACTGTCATACAATTTTTTTCATTGATAATCTGTAATTAGAACCATAACTTTTATTTATTCAAATTATATTAATATGTAAAGACCAAGTGTAACATATATCATCGTTAAATCTTATCTTATAAAACTAGTAAAACTTCAAAATCGTTAAAATTCATGGCTCCCGCCACATTGTGCGGGTACACAACTAATATTATATTACGAAGTATCGTCTGAGAATGAGAGTTAAGCTGAGAAATGTAAGAAGAGATTTTCACACTTGATCACCTTTAATCTCAAACTCATCCATAAATCGCTTGATACAGAGATTGATCAGGTGCATCTAGGTGCATTTTTATCCTAATGTGCATCCAATGATGGAGATCACTTATTACATTTTCACCTTAACTATCTTTCTCAGTGTAACTCAACCCTACATTATATTTGGTGTTTACTATTTGTTACCCAATTTTAATGTCAATTATAATGTGTTCATTAGATGCATAAATGGTGAAATAAATAAATGTGATGTAAAACAATTGATAATATTAGAAATATATTCTTTTCCCTATATTTCTTGATCATTGGCCTCATATATCTTTCACAAAATAATCGGTCCAAGAACAGGCGTCATCAGGTTGGATGAAACCAGACTGCGGGTCCTTAATCAGTCCAATTATTTGGGACCATACTAGTTTTTTATGGGTCTAGTTCATGTCCATCTCTAGTTGTAGATAACTTTTAGAACGAGTTAGCTGTATGTTAGACGAGTAACAAGGTCAATATGAAAAATCATCTTGCCACTCTTAATGTTGCATGCATGGTCTTCTTTCACGTACATATTGGCACTTTTCGTAAATATGTTGCACACGAAACTTTTCACAAATAAGAGGTTTTTATTAAAACAACCGCTCTACTTTTCTGAAAACCCACCTACAGGTGGGAGCAACGGGCCTCGTTAGTTTTGAAACAACTGCCACATTTGTTCTAAACTCATTTGGATGTCTTCATCGTTTACTAGTTATCTTTGATTATAAAAAATGTGGGGAGTTGGTTTTATGTTGACGGAACAACTGTAACGGCTGTGTTTTACATAATTTCTTTAATTGGTTGCAAAAATGAAAGATCAAACGCAACATTTACATGGGTTGTTGCTGGAATTCTTATCATTATGAAGATTGTCGCCATTTGTACATAAACGAACATAGGAAATGAATAAAATAGAAAAAATTGCTATTCTAGTGTCATATTATACTTGTCTTATTATAGAATTTGGATCTGCAAAGTTTATAGCTTGGGATGCTTTCGTTGCAAGTGTTGGACTGATGTAGGCGGTCCTACGACGTAGGGTTGGGATTGGAAGGATTTTTTTCTTGCTATTTCTTTTCTCGTTTTGGATAACATTATGATGGGACTTATCCCTCATGGAAACCAAACCAAAAAATATGTCATCAGTTTTGATAGTTTTTTGACGAGTGAGAGATAAACCTAATGAATGCCAGATTTTGAGATGATGACAAATTTCCAGGTTTTTTTTTTCTGTTCTTCATTTCTCCTTCACTGTGAAAGCGTAACTTTCGTTCGTAAGATTCAGGTTCTTTAAAAAACTTGAATAGACGTCCACAAATTCAATATGTTAAGAGGACAAAATTCTGTCAAAGGACATTGTATATCACATGGCTATATCCAATTCTCCAGCATCAAGAACGCATCAATTTGTCAAGTTAGTTATCTTATTTTATCTGATTACTGGATACAGTTGTTAATGTTGTAACTTTGATTTACGAAGCAGATGTACGAATACATACTGTTAGATGTGTTATTTATGTAATGAATTTAAAAATTGTTAACATAAGTTTTAAACAGATTAAACCAAACGAACCTAATAAATCTCATACAGAGTAAGGTTTCGAGGTGGTAGAATGTATGCAAACCTTATTTTTATCCTTAAAGAACACACACATATTATTTGTGCGGATGAATGTTTTGTGACAATCAATGAAGAATAAAATACGTTTTAATTGAAATTTTACTTAAAAAATGTTGCTGACAGGATAAAAATGTATACCATTTAATTTAATATGTAATTTAATAAAAATATTTCATTAACTTTTTTTTATTTATAAAACTTATGTTTCCAGTAAACCTCTTTAAATATTTATTTTACGGTTCCTCTGTTTACTTTTATCATATCTGCAAATCATCAAAAAACTAGAAATCAGATTTTGAGAACACGAACGATTGTTTGATTTTGAGCTTTTAAAAATGGCTTGATTTATATGAATAAACCAACTCCTTGAACGTATATTTATATTCAACAAAGAGGGAAAAGGGTCAGAGAAAATAAAAAAAAATTGAACGTATAATTATTTAGTAAATAAGACTCAGATAAACCAATCTAACATCAAGAAATCATTACTGATAAGTAACCGAGCTTGTGTTTCTTGTAATTGGTCCAAAGATGTTTGCTCGTATTCCATATATAATACGTAACAAAAATTTAAAGATCGAGATTATAAAAAAATATTATATTATTTTATAAAATTATTGCATTTAGAGTAAGCTGCGGTCCCTTTTTTTGAAGATACACTTTTGATCTCTGTAGCTTTGAAACTGCAAGATGGCCGTCGTGGTTTGCAAAAACATCTGCGTTTGATCCCTACCTTTAACAGTTGTTAAAAAATTACGTTAACCAAAGGGTATTTTCGTTCTTTTATCGATTTTATCAAAAAACATAGAGACCAAAATCATAAGATCGATTTTGATTGGGTAAAAGAATAAAATGACAAATGCGCTTTATTTAACGGATAAGTTTACAAATCCAGACATTTTTACAAATCATGATGACCATTTTATAATTTCAAAATTGCAGGGACAAAAAATGTATTTTTTAATAAACTACATAGACCAAATTTGTATTTATTCTTACTAGAAGGATACTCGCGCCAGATATATATTGATTTTAATATTTTATTTTATTCTTTATCTCAGTCAATGTTATAGTATGATTTTATGTGATTTTGAAAAAACCGATGATGTTTTTATTTTTGAATAAAATATAAATTTGAAGATATCATAAAAATTTGACAAAAATATTTCGATATTAATATCAAATTAACTATTTAAAATCTTATTTTTTGTATAATTTTTTAATTCAATTTTTTATTATAATTTAATTTATGTTCAATAACGAAGTAATTTATATTTGGTTTAATAATATTTTCTAATAAAAATAATAATTAATTATTTTGTTAGAACTCGATAATTATTCTAATGATATTTTAGATTTTTTATATTTTAAAATGAAATGTTTATCCTCTATTTGATTATGTTTATCTGCAGTTAGTTATACGAATTTAAACATGGAGCTTTAATAGGTTATACTTATGCATAATTTACTTGTAATATTGAATTTTAAGTAATATGCATCAATATACAGTAATTCATGCATAAAAAATAAGTTTTAAAAGTTTTTGTCAAAATCTTTATAATGTAGTATAGTATAGATATTTATCTTGAAAGGTAAAGAGCCTTACATTCAAGGTGGGCTTTATGGCCCATTTATAACCCCAAAAGAAAGCCCAAAGGAAGCTGTGACCATACTAGAAATTAGAGAACCGTTGACACCATCAACGTTACTATAAACCCTAGGGCATTCATCCCCTCAAGAAACTTATAAACCCTTAAGGATTCTTCTCCTCAAATTTTGCATACCCTAAAAACATTCCGACGAAAACGTTTTCAATGGAAAAGATCGAGAAATCCCCAAAAGAGGTAGGTGTTTGTGTTCTTAAGCCATTTTTGTACAATTAAAGCTTCTGATATGGTCATAACTCGCAGTTTATATTGTTCATCTCTAAACAGTAATTTTTCCTGTTTTTGTTGCTTAACTTCTGATCCAGTTTCGAATTTTTGGTGAACGGAAACTTGTATGAATTTGTTTGTTTGTTTGTAAGTTAGAAAAACCAAGCATTTCAGTCAAAAAGTTTGCAGTTTCTTAGTTTTTTTAATTATCAATCGACTAATTTCAATCTTATTACCAAATTGGACGGAATATGTTATTCTTATTATAATGTGGATTGAAGAATTTGATGTTCATTGGTTTCCTTGACTTTAAACTGTTAGGTTCTGGTTGACATTGTGAAATTGGCACAAAAGCGAGGAATGAAAGGTAGTAATGGAGGCTGGAAGGATTTCTTGAGTGTTTATGACAAGAAGGTTGGGATTAGCTTGAGTGATCCAGCAAGAAGGACCCCTGAAGCGTTGATTGCTTTCCTGAAGACATTTAGCAATGATGAGGATTTGAAGGTAACTGGTCTCAGTGGAACATTTTCTTATATTTCAAGTCTATATGAACCACATGTCATGGAGATTCTGATGATAATGAAGGACTTTTGTTTCAGTTTTTTGATAAAGTGGTAGAAAAACATGATAGTGTGGAGCATATGGAGAAGAAAACGGATAAAATGTCCCCTGAACAGGTTTGTTATGATTTATGTGCATTGTTTTATAGTTAATAAACTCATTCCTTCGTAGTAGGAGGATGATGCTCCTGTATTTGATGGAATGCTGCATTAATGCTCTTTTAGCTTCCATTGATACTGGTATGCATCATAAGAAGGAAAACTGTGTTTTTGGATTGTTAAGGTTGCTATTAACATCTAGAAGGTTCTGGAATGCTTGAACTCTGATGATAAATACTGTAGAATCAACATTAGTCATATGGTGTTTGTCTGTGAATGCTCTGATTTCGTTTCTTCGTAATGCCTTGTTTCACCAAAGGCTTTTGGTGGGTAAATAAAGGAAAAAGATTATGAATATTGTCACTAATCGCTCATTAGCTGTGTAGAAGTGAAGAAAAACATATACAGTACTGAACATGATGATTATGAGACCATGTGTATATCTATACGAGATGACCGGTAGGAAAACCCATGCAATAATCTAACTAAGTTTCAGAGATGCACTTAGGAACATATAAATCACATGCAAAGAGACAGACTGAGTTCTGAAATTCTTGATATTCTAATTGCTAAGTAAGTTTCTCTTGACGATAAATGCCAATAGCTTTTAAAGGTTATTCACCATTTTCTTGATTTATGTTGATGCAATATCAGTTTATACTTATTTTTTTGTGTGCCAAGTGCAGGAGCTGGTCTACAAGACCGTTGGTCATCCACAATACGCATTAAGTTATTCATTTCCGTCACACGAGGAGGTTTGTGAACATATATCCTTTTGACTTCCCCACTATTTATTAGATATTTGAATGCATGTAGAAATTTTGTTCTCTTTGAGTTGCAATTAGTTCTAGGGGTCATGTATCTATTAGGTGTTTCTGTGCCACGTATGGTAAGTTAGTAGCAGCTAAAAGAGTCCTCATAATCGTTACTCCTATCATCGTACTTAACCTTTAGTCTTTAACTTAGTTACATGACCAACACTTCATGCATTGTCCATTGATTGGGCAATTTTGCAATTATTCTCTAAATGAAGTTGATTACTTAGGTAAGTGATTTTAGTGGGCATTTGGTTCGCAGGATTACGATGGAATCTGATGGAATTAGAATGGTCAATTCTGCTGACCAAATTCCCTCGGACGTTTGATTTACCCATGGAATGAAATTGAACTCCATGCATTCCACCGACCATGGATTCCATCATAGTGGGGAAGGAATTGCATTCCATTCCAACCAATTTTCTTAAAATGATAAAACTACCCCCCATTAATCCAATTTTCATAAGTTATTATTTATGTATACTTCAAGAAAAATAAAATAAAATTCAAAGAACGGGTACTTTGGTCATTTTTCATCATTTCATTCCAATTCCTCTGTAAACCAAACAAACAGATTCCAATGCTTTTGACATATTACAGTCCATTTCTGCCAACCAAACACTTTGTCAGACCTGAATATTTCATTCCAATTTCTTTGACAGGTTCCATTCCTTCTAAAAATAGGCTGTGAACCAAACTCCTAGTCTCAATGCTTTTCTGGATACAAGAATAGACTCTTTTAAGAAGAAAAACAGATAAAAAATTCGTGTTTATATCATCTTCTCTCATGCAGTGAAGATAAAAAAACAAAATAACCTTTTGAATATTGGTGCAGGGGTGGTTGGTCACAAAGCATAGAAAAAAGAATAAGGCAATGAGATCTAATGCAATGGTAGCTGTTGATTGTGAGATGGTACTCTGTGAAGACGGGACTGATGCTTTGGTTAGGGTTTGTGTTGTAGACCGTGATTTACAGGTACTTCAGATACCCTTTTTAAGTTAGTATGATTATTTTGACATAGCGGTCACATCTTTCTGCAAACCTTGAAGTTGATGGGATCAATTTGATTCGAGAGCCTTGTAGGTCAAACTTGATGAACTCGTTAAACCCGAGAAAGCAGTTGCTGATTATAGATCCAATATCACTGGGGTTGCTGCTAAAGACTTGGAAAATGTTACTTGCTCTTTAGAAGATGTACAGGTGAAATCCTGGGGTTGAGCTATGAAACTATTTGGTCGTTTACTTGAGCATTGTCCACTTTCCCCCCCTGAAATTGACTCGTTTTCCATAGGAATCCATGATGAAGTTGCTAGCAAGAGGAACCATATTGGTTGGGCATAGTCTGAATAATGATCTACAAGGTAACCATGTTTTCTGATTTAAGATATAGTTTGTATGTAACCTATAAGTTTAGTCACAAGATTTGGCCGTGTAAGAGTTGGATACTTGGATCTCAGTCATTATTTGCTATTTTTTAATCCTCTATTTATCGTTTATACCATTTACGTTTTTTTGCAGCACTCAAGGTAGATCATTCAAGAATAATTGACACTTCTCTTGTCTTCAAGTATTGGAGTGGCTCCAATTTCAGGAGACCGTCTCTGAATGATCTGTGTAAGGCAAGTCTCAAATGCGTAGCTTCAATAAATGTTCCCCTCTTTGGATTATTTTTTTGCTATGTGGAAGCTTGCTGCATTTTGGTGGCTAAAATTTTACTCCCTCCGTCCCAAAATGAGTGTTCACATTTTTATTTTAGTTTGTCCCAAAATAAGTGTCAACTTTCAAAAGTAAGAGGCTGTTTATGAAACACTTAACGACTCTTACTGGGTAACTGAACACTTATTGTCTCTTACCAGGTAAGATGCTTACCTAGTAAGAGATGATGGTCTTTGTCAACAATTTTACCAAACGAGCGATTTGGTTTGGAGAGTCTTTATCAACAATCTTATCTGTTTGTGCTAAATTGCTAATCACCACATTTTGAACCCCAAAAATTAGGTTCATAAAATAAATATGAATATATATATATATGTATGTATATATCTGTGTGTATGTTTAACTTAATGTATCGTATGCCTATAAAAATAAATACTTAATGCACAAACAGAAAAGTAATAACCAAGCTAAACTTAAATGGTTAAACGACAAAGTCAGAAACCATTAGGGACTGAAACAGAAACCATCCAGAAAAGTGGCGTCCAATTCTGAAGTCCAAAAATCCAATAATTAGGGACTGAAACAGAATGTCAGAAACCGTTACCTGATAGTAAATGTTAGTGTTCAAAAGTAGAAGCAATCGAAGATGAGTAGTAGAAGGAATTGTTAAAAGCACAATCGAACAGGACTGTGGAATCTAGCAGGAATCGGACAGGACTATGGAATGTTTTGGACTTTGGAATCAAGGACCAAAGTTTTGAACTGTGGAACCGTGGATCAATAACCGTTGCTTTTGTTAATAGGCCAACTGAGAGTCTAAATAGCCCACACAGAACAGAAGCCCACCCAAAATAGAACCCGTTTAAATTTAACAAAAAAGGTCCAAAACAGCCCCCAAAAGAAAAACCATCAAATCGGTAATTGTGGCCACTATTTGGGTTCAAATGCGGTACCGGTATAATGCACCGCTATTTTGTGTACCACCACTATAGTGCGCATTTAACTGTATAGGCTGAGAGGGTATGAGATGCTTATGTTATGTTATTTTAATGACCAAAAATCTTATCCGGTTAGGTAACTGAGGGTGGTGACTTTTAGCCGGTAAAAGCTTACCCAGTTTGTGTTGGTAACTAGCTAAGTGTCTACTTTCTGATTTTACCCTTAAGTGCAATTGTCATTTAGTACTAAAATTCACACATTTCTAAATTTGTGCGCCTTAATTTTATTGTGGACATTTATTTTGGGGATAGAGGGAATAGATGATATAGCACTTTTATGGTGTTCTCTTTGATGAATTTATGTTGTTTGTTTGACATGCTGTTTCTAGCATTTACCCTTTCATCTACCTTTTACGTTGTACTTATGAAAGCAATATAATCTGTTTTATGTCTATATTAACTGATATACTTTTTGCAGTTGATTTTAGGATATGAACTTCGGAAGGAAGGTGCTCCGCATGATTGTGTGGAGGATGCACGTGCCGCAATGAAACTTGTTCTTGCCAAAATCGAAGGGGGAGTTGATAACACTCTACCCTCAAATCAGAACGATGTGAGTTGGAACTTGCTGCTATGTCCATTTTTATCTTTGCCCAATTCGTTCATTTGATTGTTTATCTATTTGGAACTACAGGTACATGAAACAGAGGCAATGAAGTTACTTTGCCACCGCATACCAATCAACATCCCTGGAGAAAAATTACTTGAAGTTATTCCAGGAGACTTCACCATTGAATCGAAGGTTAGTTAATTCCTCTTTTACCCTTGGTTTCATGACCGTCACAAAGATATGTTACTCGGAAATTTCTATGATTGTTATCTAGTTGCGTTGTTTGGTAATTAGTCAATCTTCATGCTTGAAATTTTTGAAAGAAATCATTTTTAAAATCTAAAATAGAAAACATGTTATGGTAGTAAAGGGTATTTCGAACATGTCGGCAAGACTTGTTATGACGGTCACCGTAAGTGTGCCAATAAAGATTTTAAATCTTTGTATGTATTGAATACCAATTCATAAAAATTTTGTAGCTATTTGTAATATTTACAATGAAAAAGGCGCATAGTTCTAGAAATGTGTAAATATTACACCTTTTTGGTTAACTACGGGTCGTTTCAAATAAGAAGACTAAATATCGTGAGAAGGTTAGAAGGGAAGTTTAAGGGAAGGTTCATATGTGAATCATTGAAAAAACCTATTTGAAGATGCATATGTGAACCGTTTCAAATTATTCATATGGGATCACGTATGCATTTTCAAATGGATTTTTCTCAATAATTCACATATGAACCTTCCCTTTTTATCTTCTCACGATATTTAGCTTTCTCATTTGAACCTGTCACTAGTTAACTAAATGACAATTGCACCCTTAATAATAGAAAGAGTAATGAGTTTCTCCATCTCATTCTTAAGGGTAGAACCAGAAAGTAGGCACTTATGTTGGAATAAAATAAAATAGATATATGGACACTTATTGGGACGGAGGGAGTACTTATTTAGTGCATGTATTTTGTTTCTCATCTTATGACTGATTTTGCAAACAATTTGCTTACAGGCAAATAAGAAAGCTGGAGGAGACAAGTATTCGGCTTTTGCAGTTTTCAAGAACAAACAAGAGGCTGATCAAGCGTTTGAGAAACTTGAAGGCGATCAAGTTAAAGTATGCTACACTTATTCTAACTTTTTTACTCCTACAAATTAAACCGTTCACTCCATTGAAGCAATTATTCACCACCTTAAATAATTACCTCCTAATACAGAGACTAGAGATAAGATTATTATGGGAATTCTGAATTGCTCGTAAAATCCTTTTAGTCATCAAAACCCTATTCTTCTAGGGCCCGTTTAGTTGGATGGAATGCTTTTGATGGATTTGGAATCTTTATTGGGTTTGGTTTGTAGGATTCGGAATGGAATCTTTATAAATATTTCATATAAACAATTAATATAAATTAAATTACCTTTTTATTAATTCATGATTACAAAACGAGTGTTTGAACATATTTTAGAATATTATTACAAACAAACCTTATGAAATCCCGCGAAATACAGATTTTTAAATCCCATGTTTGTGGGTTTTCATTGAAATATGAGGATTTCAATTCTGGACTTGACTTCAAACCAAAATCCCGGATTGGAATGGTCCCAATTCCAAAGCCCGCAAATCAAACGGGCACTTGGGTAATTTTACATTGTCATCAAGCTTACCTGCTAGTTTTTACCAAACGTGACTGCTTTCTCAGCCAACAACAGCTAGTTTATTAGTTAACAGCCAGCTTTTCAGCCTTTTAGTGTTGAAATTTGAAATTATAATGCAAGAACATGAAAAGGGTTCGGATTTTTATTTCTATTCGTTAATCTTTCACTTACTTTTGTACTCGATTCCCTCCTATCAGGATTCATCTGGGCGTCCACAGAAGTTAATTTCCTTCAAACTAGATTCCGGTATAGCTGGTAGTATATATGTTCGGAAGATGGTCGAAGATAGTGATAATGTCCAAATACCATCAAAAAAGAGGGCAGCTGAAGATGATATCCCAACTCAGCCCAAGAAGTTAAAGACAGAACCAAAAGAAACCATCGAATGCGATCATTGTGATGGTTACTTGAAAGAAATTGAAACCCTGAAGAAAAAACTAGGCGAACGAGATCAAGAGATATCCACCTTACACAAGATCATAGTTTCTCAGGCAAGAAAACAAACTGGACTTTGACCGTCTTTTTTAGTGAGAATCTATTGGTCTTGGGAGTGATATAGTTTCTGGGATTGAACCAGCATAAAGGTTCCAGATTTGGGTCCAATGGTGCTGAAAACCAGCATAAAGATATGATGGAAGTGGTACTGAGTTGCTAGAAATCAAGACTCCAAGAAAGAGCTGATTGCCATTAATTTTGGAACCCTCTAATTTCTATTAGGGTTTTGTTTTTAAAATTATTTATACATATGAGGATAATCAAGTGTATTATGAGCTTATTACTATGTGAATCTGTATCAAGCTGTAACAGGTCATTGGAGATGTAAATCCATGAATTTTGGTGTTATATTTATTTACTACTATTTTTTTTGTTTTTGTGTTGTACCAGTTTTGGGGCCTCTGTATTTTACCTTTATGTGTGTTTCGTATGTTGAGATTGTGTAAGGTTTTAGGGTTTTTAATTTGATAACGAGTAATTTAGTAATTTACCAATCTTGTTTCATATTTTTTGTTTCAGATTGTGAAACAACACTTAGGAGCCGTTTATCCAAATGCTTACCCGGTAAGCGCTTACCAATATGAGTCAACATTATAATTTATTTAGACGCGTAAGATTTTAATACATCAAAGCATATCGAATGCAACAATATACTGGATAAACGCTTACCTAGGTAAGAGTCGTCAAGAGTCGTCATCCTCACTTACCGGGTAAGACGCTCCATCCTTCTCATTGCTCTTACCCGGTAAGATTTTTGGCCCTTCTCATATTCATCCGGCGAAGAAATTTATGCGTTAAGCACTTACAAAGTAAGTGTTAACAGCCCCTTGCTATCACATGCATTGTTTCATAATATAAAACAATAGATGATTAGTGGTTTTTATGATTCTCATTTGATTATGTCCGTACCCGTAAGCTCAATTGTTGCTACAAATAATCCAAAGGAACACTGCATACAGATCGCCAAGCGTGTTTATAATTCCATCTCATTGCTTTACAGAACGTGAAACGAAATAGAAATGAAAAACAATGAATTCGATAGAACGAGTTTTCAATCAAAATGTTTCAAATTCAACAGCCAAAAAGTTGTTTGTAGGATCGTATCATTGAACGAAATTAGCATTGCTCACACAAGTTTTGAACCTATGTATGAACTTTTGACAGAAAATTGGGGCACAAAACAAACAAAAACAAGATTTATGGCTACAAATGACATTTTCTTTTGAAAACTCACTCGCTTTCATCGTCTTCATCGTCACCAAACGAAAAAACTGAAGCATCGGCAGCAATTGCCTTGATGTCACCCGAATTCAGATTTGGAATCGATCTCTCAACCTGCTCATTTCGTGTATTGTTGGAACCTTGGATGGACTGTTGCCTGCTGTTTAACGAAAGTTGTTCTGTGTTTTTCCTCAAATTTGTTACTTCCGCTTCCATTTTGCCGGATTCCGCTGGTGGTGGTGACGGTGGTGCAGTCCCTGGTCTGGAGGCCAAGTTGGGTCGGTTCCTGTCCGTGGACGCGGGTTCGTCTCCATCATCACTGTCGGAGAACACATTGTCGTTTTCTTGGTCTCCAGAAGCTTTGTTTTGATTGAAGTTAGGATCTTTGTATGGTGCTGAAGAATCATTGGAGCTTGTACTAGGTTTGTCACTAGTTTTGTACTTTTCGGGAATTGTACCATCGTAATCGATCATCACCACCTCAACTTTGAATCCTGGAACGGGCAACTTTCTCTGCAAAGAAAACCAAACCAAGCCAAACAAACCCGGTAAATCTCATGCAAAGGCAGGGTCTGGGGGTAGGATGGATGGGCGGATCCTCTTGTAAGGAAGTGGTGGCACAGGCTAGCACTAATATATCCCGTCATAGCATAAAAAAATATGACCCTTAAAGGAGCTACCATTGTGATTCGTTTTGAGCTACTACTAGGCATCGTCGTTGGAAAATGGAGAGGCTACAGTAGCATATCGAAGCTTAAATTTGAGTTTCATTGGTTAAAATGGTGGAACACAAACTCTATGGAGGGTTCCTCTTATGGTAATTATTCCACCAAATTCCATCCTTGATTATCTGAAACCAAATGGATCTAGTAAATCTCCCACATGGGGTAGGGTCGGGGTCATCTTAATAGTCGATAATTAAATATTTTAATGTGAACATTGATCTTAGATCGAGAGACAAGCAATACTAAAGTTATTACGTATTTAGATTAAATAGAGCTTATTGATCAAGGAAATACTAAAGTTATTATGTTGACTAATTCATCTTTACGTGAAGTTAAATATTTTGAGAACCATGAGAACCAAATAATATCATGATAGATATTTATGATGAATACTTGAATATCATGAACAATGAAAATGATTAACAATATTCATGAATCGGTTCTCCTGGTTTTTAAAATATTTACAGTTCCTAAATGAACTTCCCCTTTCACCTTTAATAGCACAGGTATTTGTGAAATCCACAGGGAAGGCTGCATACAGAGCAATCTCTCCCCAACGCTCACCAAGTTTAAGACACACTAGGTCCCCTTATACTGATCTTAAGTTCTTAACTTGAATACACTAATTTCTAAGTTACGATCTTCTGAGTCTTGACACGTTTTTGGCATCCTACAATTCTACAAATACATGAAAAGATCGAAAAATAGAGGAAGAAAAGGAGGGTTCAGTAATCACAAGTTGTGCATCACATACCTTGTCAAAATCATCAAAATCGGAACCGCTCAAAACTAGCCTGTTCTCCATCATGGTTGTATTTAGCCAACTGAAGACAAGAAATTAACAATTAGAAAAGTGTCAGATGAGTCAACAGGCTAATCTCTCCTACATAATACCCAAGCTCACAAGTACCCGTGGAATAGAGGGTCAAACTTCAAACAAATAATTTACGTGTCACCATATCAACCCATTTCAGATATATAAACAGTAAGATGTCAACTTTATGGTAATCAGATGAGTCCTAAGAATAATTATGGAAAGCAGGTATATTATGCTTTAGTTTATAAATAGATTGCACACCAAGAAGAACTAGTAATCTTTACTGACCAGTAAAAATCGCCTTGGCGATCATGAAATTGGATCTTGAAATCGCCCATTAACTCTGTCAGACCAGGCTCCCCAGGTAGAGCAAAAACTACAATCCCTTTTGTCGGTGCACGAATCCAAAAATCTTCAGGCTGTAAAATTGGTTACATTTCTTAGTGGGTTCAAAGAATTTTCTCTTATGTGCATATCCCAGAAAAGATGCACAAATAATTACCATAAGATTCTTCGTTTTTGGATGCTTTTTCGTTGTAAATAAAATTCCTGTAATGAACTGTATATATCAAAGGTCCAGATGATGTGCAAACAGCATAAAGAAAACTAGAAGCATTTCCTAGCTTAATGGTTCATAATAAAATATGCGAAGGGAGATAATAATGCATAAACAATATTTAAGCAATCAGACATCTTAGGCGTACCATTATGATCAGATATGGTAATTGAAGGTCTGACCCAATAAGGGCATTCATGTAGCCTGAATCCCCTCAGCATGCACCTGAAATAATAACTTAAGTGGTGGACTAAAAAATAATGGGCGAATTTTATTCAGAGTGGGCAAATGTGATCTGGGATCAGGGGCGTTTGGGCCCTTCAATCGAGGAATGATGATCCATTGCTTTATTTATTTCAGCTATGGTGGGCCATAAATACTCAAGGGACTCTCTGGGCTTGTGATGTGCAGAGATTTTGGATTCTCAATGGAGCCGAACTTCATAATCTCAGATTTTTTCTGGGGGTGCTTCATTTATAGAAATGATTACATGATAGTAATTCCATGCTTGTTGATATTATAGGGATTTTATATGGGTATAGTTGGGTTTTAACTACCTTCTTGGTGTATAGCGCTAAACCGTTATTGAGTGTCTACCCAAAGCATGTTCTGGGTAGACTTTCTTTTTTGTTAAAATGGGTAATGCCCATTTAATTTTGTATTTTCCTTTTTTATTGAATAAAATTTGTCTGGGGTTACGTCACCCTTTACCAAAAAAAAATAAAAATAACTTAAGTACCTACTGACAATTGAACTAAACAATAGAAAGAAGATGAGATTACCTCCGGCCAGGTGGACTTTCACCATTGAATTCTGTCAAGATGCGTTCAAAGTATTTTACATACCGCTAGAAAAAGAAATACCATTAATTAGTAATAGTTCTCGTGCAACTGAAAACTTTAAGCAGGATAAAAGTTCTGTAGAAGTAGGTAACTGACAATCTGGCTTGGAAGTATCAATCCTTTCCCATCAACGCATCTTCTTTGATTATAGTAATCAATACACTCCTGTGCTGTAGGGAAAAACTGCAAAATAATACCAGAGGTTAGGTTAGTTGATGACCGACTATGATTACTTAACGGAGCACAAATGACAAACCAACTCTAATAAAAGATATGTGCTGATTAAAACTTACCTTCAAAAATAAAAGAAGGCTACAAATCATTAAGCCTGTTCTTGCTTTACCAGCTTTACAATGAACAACCACGACATTAAGAATATCCGCCTTTAACCATGAGTAAGCACTTTGACAGAATAATGGTACTAGGTGAATAGGGGGACAATTATGATCATTGAATGGGAAAGATGCAACCTGCAGTCAGATAAAGATGGAAAAACCTGCAAGATCAGTTTTCTTTCAGTTTATTTACGTTACTGGGTTCCAAATTACCAACACAACAGTAAGGTATGGTACAAAAATTTCTTGAAGGTGCTTCAAGTTGAATAAGATGTTGTCTTTTTGGAACATGAATGAAAGCATAGTTAACAGGACAGTACAATATGAATTATAAGTTAGCTAACTGATGCATGGTGTTGATTCAACTATTCAACTGTAGGATACAAATTTATCATTCAACAGATACATAGTTAAATATTTCATCTCAATCCTGTGCTTACAATGATCTGGAAGATCTGTTTTACTGAGTATGAATGGGATGTAAGACTTCTTCTAACAACAAGAAAAGGTAGCCCCTATATTTGCTCTAGGTCAAAATTGCTGCTTTCTGAAATAATAGTTTGACTAAAAGATCATTATTGATTACTGTTTGACGGCCATCCATTAGAGGTAGAAATTGTTATATTTTCATATGGCAGACAATTTGATGGTAATTTTTGAGATTCTCACTCATCTTCTGGTTATTCCTCAAGTCCCTACTCGACAAACCAACTAGTAACAACATGATATGACTTTCTTCATTGGGAGAGAGTCACACACCTTTCCTGCAAATAGTGAAGCATCGTACAGTCTTTCCGAACAAAGATTATATACTTTGTATCTATCCTGCAGAAGGAAAATAGATATCAAGTTCCCATCAACTAGGTATACTGAGGTTATGGGATAGCATATAGAATATTAGAAGTCAAAGGTATAAATTGATCATGTCAAGGCAAGTTTGATCAGGTTAAAGATAGGTGACTGGCAGTCACATTCTTGAAGATAATATTCACATTCAGCAGGCAAATTTTACAGTTTATTTTTCAATGTGTGATATACTAGGCGAATCGTAGTGGTGACAAATTTCAATCTACAAGTTTCAGTTGAAGTGCAATAACAGCGATGAGCTAGCAACCAGTTGACCAAAGCTTCACGACCACCCACTTGGGCTTCAATTATCCTATTATATCTTTATACAAAATTATTCTACTTTATCAACAAAATTATCCTATTATATACAGTTCTTATTTACAAGGGTGTGCGACTTATCAGGTTAGAACTGGCTTTAAGCTCATAGTTGGCCACAAGCTTGTCAGAGGAGCACACTGGTATTCTTCTTTGAATCACATAATGCTTTAAGCATGTAACATCAGTCAAATTTTAGTAATGATGTACTGACGTGTGGCTTCTTTAAGTGCTTATTAGCATGTCTAGATCAAGCAGTTCCATGGATGCTCTAGTTGCATTTGCAGCATAGTGAATTTTACTCTGTTGACCAAAATTATTAGAGTGTTATTGACCAATGAAAATATTCATAATATCAATATTTAACACTGCTCTTTAACATGCAGTTTCTGCTGGTGTAAACAGCCACGACATTGAACAAATATGGAGGAAAAGAGCATCTGGCATCATCATCTTGTAGCTACTAAAAAAGCACTTCCTGTATAAGGTTTATGTAACTATAGATATTGCTTGCAATTTCTCAAGTCCATTACATCCATCCATGAATGTGTGAGATGGCAAATATTGGTGGTAACACTGTAAAAGTAGGGAAGGTCATCACACATTTTGAAGTATAAGGTGTTCAGGCATCACATTGAGTACACTGATTCACAGAACAAGAGGAGCCATTGTAAAATGTAATTTCACTTATTGATTTCATACAAAGAATACATGGCTTCATATAGCAACCAATTAGTATCTACACAATAAATACACAGATATGATCCACCATATCAGCTTATATCTATACAATTAATACACAGGATTTGATTCACCATATCATGCTACATTACTACTGTGATATCACACCATGATTAACATGATTACAAAAATATTAGGCTATTAATGAGTGGATTCAGAATCTGTTTTAACATCTCTCCTCAAACTTGAAACGTTTGGGAGGACAAGTTTGTTGGTGAAGAACAGATGGCGTATGGAGTGGTTTGGTGAGGAGATCTGTAGGCTGATCTTTGGACGGGAGGTAGCAGACACGATGACTACCCTTAGCTACCTTTTCATGAACATAATGGTAATCAAGCTCAATATGTTTTGTGTGGGCATGAAACACGGGATTAGAGGCCATGCATGTGGTGCTGAGATTATCACAGTATAGATGAATAGGAAAGTCAATATGAGCACCAAGTTCATAGAGCAGATATCCTAACCAAGTGGTTTCTGCACAAGCATGTGAGAGGGCACGATATTCAGATTCCACGCTTGATCGGGCTACTGTTTGCTGCTTTTTAGAACACCAAGATATAAGATTCGAACCCGGGTTTATTAAGTAACCAGTGGTGGAGCGACGAGTTATAAGAAAGGTGGCAGGATTCGAACCTACACTCTGACCATGCGACCATTAGGTTAAAAGCCCAATGCTCTACCGAGCCCCATAGAAACTGTCTACCTGAGACTGTCCAGTCATAGCTATAGGAAGAGGGATTCCAAAGACACGAAAGAATCTCAATTTTATGGAGGATTCGGAATATCACACATTGATCAATCATTGGACAACCGGCCCAATCAGCATCAGAGTACGCTGATAAGCACACTTTTTGAGGTTGTGGAGAGAACATTAAGCCGTGAACTAGAGTACCTTTGATGCAGCGGAGGATGTGTTTGACGGCAAAGAGATGATGATCCCGAGGTTGATTCATAAATTGTGAAACACAATGAACCGCAAAGGAAATGTCAGGGCTTCTAATTGTAAGATATTGTAGGGACCCAACATATAGTGTAGGATCAGTAAGAAGAGCTCCATTTGCAGAGTGAAGGTCAGCTTTGGTCAACATAGGGATGCAGACTGGCTTGCTAAGTAATAAATCATGCTTGGAGAGAAGGTCATGAGCATACTTGACCTGGTTAATGTGAAGCCCATCTGAATTCTTATGGACCTGTAAGCCAAGAAAATAGTGCAAAGGACCCAAATCCTTGATGTCAAATTCTCGACCCAAACGCTTAATAAACATATGAAGGAGTTGATCACTGCTACTAGTCACAACAATGTCATCAACATAAAGCAAAATGAATATTTGGTAAATCCCATGACGATAAATAAATAGAGAAGAATTAGCAATACTTTGAAAAAATCTGACTGAGAGGAGAAATGCACACATACGCTGAACCAAGCACGAGGGGTTTGTGTCAAGCCATACAAAGCCCTATGTAGCTTGCAAACATAATCTGGCCAGGACGGATCAATCAATCCCAGTGGTTGAACTATATAGACGACTTCTTTTAAGAAACCATGTAAGAATGCATTTTTAACGTCTAGTTGCCGAAGAGACAAACCACGGGATACTCCTATTGTAAGAACAGTTCGTATAGTAGCAGGTTTAATAGCTGGACTAAATGTTTCAGCATAGTCAATACCTTGTTGCTGATGAAATCCCTTTGCAACAAGGCGAGCCTTGTAGCGCTGCACAAATCCTTCAGGATTTTGTTTGATACGGAAGACCCATTTGCAACCAACAGTGTTTTGTTTAGGAGAAGGAGGTACTAAAGTCCATGTTTTGTTCTTCAGCAATGCATTGAACTCTTCAGTCATGGCTACACGCCGAAGTCAGAAGAGCTTTTGGTACTGTCCATTTAACTGTACCATCAGTCCTTTGTCTTGCTTCAACAATACCATGACGAAGTCGAGTGGCCATGGGATGAGCAACGGGTGGGGTAGCGGGAGGCGCTGGTGCTGATGGTGCAGCGGGGGCTGCTGGGTCAAGGGGGCCAGCGGGGGCTGCTGGGCCGTCAGAGGCAGTAGGGGATTCGGAGCAAGATGAGTCTCATTCGGTATTGTGGGAAGAGATGGGTTGAGCTCAAAAGGAGGTGGTGTTGTTGATGGTGGGGCTGTTGTGTTTCAAGGCAGGTTGTTGCGGCGTGAGTATTGAATAAGCGGGCAGGTGGTGGTTGGTGTAATGGTAGGTGGAGCAGAGGTGTCATTGTTGGTGGAATTAGTTGATAGAGGGTCAATGGGATAGACTTGGACTTGGTCTTGCGAAGCATCATGTAGTGGGCTGTTAGATGAAGGTGACAAGATTATCTTCAATAAAACGAGCAATGGACAACTAGTCTTTACGAATAGATGGAATATGAAGAATATTTTCAAGAGAGAAATTAGAATCGTCTAAGGAAAAAAGGTAGATTACCGGAATGGGTGATCGGCATAGAGTCACAATTACCCATGTTGACATTATGAGGACCAACATATGGTTGGGCATTTTGAACCGGCATGGATGTCATATGATGTGTAGCACCTGTATCAGGGTACCAACTGTTATCTCCGAAGAAGTGGGCTCCAGCAAATTGTTGATTGGTGGAAGGGCCTTGGAACAGATGTGGACATTGAGAGATGGCATATTGGCGAGTTTGACAATTGGAACACCATTGTGGGCCAGGTCCAAGAAGGCCATTAGACCAAGGATTAGTGGGATGCCATGGGGATGAGAAGGGAGATCGTGGTCCATGAGGGAGTTGTTGAGTTGGATATTGAGGACGTTGTCCACTAAAAGTATTACAGCCTCCGCGACAATAGGTTCTACCACCTCGACGACCTCCCCCATGATCACCCGAAGGAAGTGGAGAATCGTGGGGAAGCAGCGGCAATGTGTGGCGATTGGTTTTGGTGAAAAAGGGTAGTGACTTGTGCTCCGTTAGAATCATGTGATTGTTGTTGTGCATCAAAGGCAAGAATACGTGCACGCAATTCAGTGAAATCAGGAAGGGAAGAAGCTTGAGCTAGGGATGTACGAAGCATGAGGTAGTCCAGTCCAAGGCCATGAAGGGTTAAATCGGCATCATTGACAGGTTGATTAATGGAGGTAAGGGAATCAGCTATGGTTTTGGCTTGCTGGAGGTAGGTATCAACTGTTTGAGACCCTTTCTGGAGATCAAAAAGCTGGAGTTTTAGGCTGGTTGCACTAGCTATGGATTTTTGGGAGAAGTGGTTTGTGAGGCAATCCCAAATGGACTTGGAGGTGTCATAGCCAATAGTGAGACAAGCAACATTTTCAGAAGAGAACGAGTAAGGACGCTTACAATTTGTTGGTCCATGACAAACCCTTTGTGGGCGGGATTGGGTTCAATAGTGGCAGGCTGGTTGCTGCCATTGGCAGCAGGTTTGACGATGGTTGGGGATGGTTCTGGCACAGTACCATCGATGTAGCCCCATAGTTTTTGACCATGAAGCCAACGTTTTAGTTCTTGAAGCCAAACTAGATAATTAGTTTCATTGAGTTTGGTAAATTGAGCAGTAGCAAGAGGAGAAGGGTTGGAAGATGAGGCCATGAGGAAACAAAGAGAAGAAAGTGGAAAACCCATGAGGTAACCTATAGTTATACTACTAATACCATGTAAAATGTAATTTCACTTATTGCTTTCATACAAAGAATACATGGCTTTATATAGCAGCCAGTTAATATCTACACAATAAATACACAAGATATGATCCACCATATCGGCCTATATCTATACAATTAATAACAGGATTTGATTCACCACATCATGCTACATTACGACTGTGATATCTCACCATCATTAACATGATTATAAAGATATTAGGCTATTGATGAGTGGATTCAGAATCTGTTTTAACAGCCATCTTGTGCAAACATGCCAAATTCTAGACTTCTAATGCAACATCCTGAAAGGCTCTTCTCGGCCCATTGCATTATAACGTAATGACCATCATAATGTTCGTTATACTCATAGTCATGTAAATTTCCATCACGGTAATTAGGTAAATAGTTTTTGTCTAGGTTTATCCTCATTACTTTCATATAGGCTCTGTAGCATTGGAGGTTTGGTTTAAATGAAATGCTTACCTTATGATGAGTTTCAAAAAATTTGATCACTTCTTCCATATGATTTCGGTAGAATCCCTGCATTTAGCTTTAAGACATTCATGAGAAAGACAATGAGGTAACTACACTCGATTGTCTAAATTTGTGGTTGAGTTTAGCAGTTGTTTACCTCAAAATATCCAAAAAGCCCAGAACTCATATCACCAGCAGGAAAACCCATTGCAATTATATTATCAGTAATATAAGTCAAATCCAAGTCAAATCCTCCCTCCTGAGATCAGGAATAACATCAAATGTTTCTGTACCAAATTAAGCAATATCATCTTTGTTTAACAATAGCATCTCAGTTTGACCAAAGAAAAAGTGAAGAGAAAGAAAAATAGAAGTAAAGGAGATCTCTATTAAAAAATTATTCGACTAATATTTAGTTGCATAATGTGTTCGATCTCACAGAACCAGCAAAATAACAATTTAGATTTTATTAGATGAGCAAAGCTGCAGTGGATATACAGCATCAACATAGAAAAGAATGTATAGTAAACAAGAAAAAATATTAGCAAAAGGTGTAAAGTTTAAAGTATTTAAGAACACCCTCCCATAATACGAAGCAATCATCAACTTCTGTAGCTTTTATGTTTATTGTGCTTTCTTTACCGATAAGTGATAACACATACCTACTTATTGTGTATGTTCACACTTATAAGTTATTATTATGTCTAGCTTACTGCTTTCTATCTATCAAAATAAGGGGTCATATAAAGAAGCTCTCTTTATAGATGTAAAGAAGTGAGTAACAAGTTGAATAAGTTTAGGTATTTTCCAAAATATGTTTCAGGTCTCAAGACATCTTCTGCGGAGGGCAGTTCAGGGCTCATAAAATGGCACCACCTATTTATGTGCATGACATGATGTTCTGAGGGTATACAGTTGACTGCAGGTGAAAGTAGTCTATAACCTATCTGAAATTATGGATTCCCATTTTCCTCTTCGGGCACAAGAAGTTTTGTTTAAAAGATTTTCACAACTTCAGCCTTCCAAAATCAGATAATGGCCCTTTTGGGTAGTTAAGAAGGATGAAGCAAGAGTCAGTAATTTCACTAAAAGATATTCTGCACCAGTTCCAGCATCTTAGTTGCTGCAATCTGCTACTTCATTAGTAAGGATCATGAAATGATACATTTATGAAACAAAAAATGACATCAGTTCTCTAGATTGAAGAATAACAGTGGACTATCTCCGACCAATGTCTAGCTAGGCTGCGTTTTTATGTTTTTCTTGTTTTCTTAAACAGTAATAATATGAACACCCTATTAGCAGCGACTCTTGAATCCATAACCATTGGTTCAGAAAACTTGGTTGGTACTAGTTGGGCCAAAGGCCACTAGTGTTTTTTTATTTACTAAATCTAGGTTGTTTACGAGTTAAAGATGATGAGACAAAGTACTTTTTGTGTCAAAAAAGAGGATCAGTCAACACTTACAATTCAGTGCTAAAGGTTTCTAGATTATCATCACAAGAATGGAAGGCCATTACTGTGTTGTGTAAGATTGTAAGAGAATCTATGAAATAAGCTATATAAGAAGAAATCTTGCATGAACAAGACCAATCTGTTGGAGTCTATAATAACTGCTTCTACATAGAACCGATATATTTTAACGGTGTTAAAGTTGAGCAACCTGGTATCTTCGTTTGTTTTGGGAGACCATATGACGTGCTTTAACTTGCACTGCCTTCACTGCACCCAAAGATGTGTCAACTAAACCTTTTCCAACAGACTGAAGAACAGCTGATGGAGAAGTTGGAGTAATGCCACCAGCATTGTCATTTGCTCCAGCAGCTTTCAAATGCAAACCAAACCCACTGGCAAGTCGGGCAATGGCCCACTTTCCAGTATTTTCAGCCTGTAAACTGTTTTGTGCTGGTACCATAGGTTTGGGAAAATTCGGAACTTCGTCCGAAGATGATACGATAGGTGTAGATTTCACTAAAGACGAGTCAACTGCAGAACTATTAGTCTGTGCAGAGACGGTGGATGCAGAAGTTTTAACATCACTAACTTGAGTAACTTCAGTTGGAGATTGAGATGACACGGCGGATTCTGAAGCCATTCTGCACATGAACAAAATCCACAAATGATCCATGTTTTCCAATTAAAACAAATGATAACTGATGGCTACTTCAATAGCATGATTATGCTGCAAAAGCAATTGGTATGGCATATCTGTGCTGTATTCTAAAGAACAAAAACATCTGACGCATTGAAATTCCCAATCCTAATTCCTAGAGAAAAGTTCCTGTACAAAATTATGCTGAGCAACAAAGTTGAGCTCAGACTACTAAACATCTTGCGCACTTCTTTAAAGGGGTCAACATCAATAGAGGTATCATGCCTCAATTAAGTTCATTTAAATCTTGGTATCCATTTTATCAATTATCATTACTCCTCTTAACACTTCATTACTAGATTGGAGCAGATACCTGGAAACACAACATGAATTCATGCATTGATAATGCATATTTGGCAGAGATATGCATAAACGCAGCATTCATTGGTTAGGGAAATGCCATTCTCAAACTAAAATACGTATCAATAGCGCATGGCTCAAGACAACTCTGATAACGAAAACTCAAGCACAAATCACAATCTTCATCCTTTACGACCAGTATTCCGCTAAAGGAGTACATCAATTTATGGACTAGCCATCAGTAATGCCATACGTAAGATAGTGCATTGATCTGTGTTTCGTGTTTGCATAACTCGAAACGAGCGAAATCACACAACAAAAACCAGATATATTCACGAATTTCTAACAAAATGCAAATACTAGAAATGAATGTGGTAGATCGATAAGAGATCCGATCACTCACATAGATCCAATAAATCCTCGATATCAGTTCCAAGCCTCTTTGATTGTTTTATCCAATTTGCAGATAAAATTGGGAGCTGTAGCGGAGGGGGACGACGGAGAGGAGACGGATTAGACGAGAAATTGGAAGAACGGTGGTTTCCGGCAGTAATACCGGTTTTTGGGGTCTCAATTTTGATTGTGAACTCTTGTTCGCTTTTGACCGGCTCTCAAATATATTTCCGAAAAAGGAAACACACATCACACTCTAAAAAACGGAAACTTTCAATTTTATATATATATATATTTTAAATATTTTTTTATTAACATGATATCCAACCCGCTATACAAGCCAGCTAATCTCAGAACGATCGCCTGTTTTATAGATAGCCCGAAGTCACTATATTTGAACCTCTGTGACCACAAGGGGATTTTTATTCCTTCTTAAATTTTTAAATATTTTGTTTGTTTTTAGGTTAAGACGAAAAAAGTTATGATGTCTCAATACAGACGTGAGGGTGTTACCGTTTTATTTTTATTAACCTGGATATCCAGACCATCGTACGAGTCTGATTAATCTCAAAACAACCACCTGTGTTTTACGGATAGTTCAAAGTCACTACATTTGAACATCCATGATTATAAAAATGAGAAATTGAGATTCAATAAATGATTTTTATTATCAAAATAGTTCGAGTGAAAATTATAGTTTGTTATCTATGTAGTTTTTCGTCTCTTCACAATCGCATCGCGAATTGATGCATGTTCGATATTCATATATGAATAAATACTTCTTTTACTAAAGCAGGATACAATTACTTTTTAAAAGACGTAAAAACAATCAAACCATCACAATACATTAAAGGGTAAATATCAAGAACTCGGAACGAGTTCATAGACATAAACAAAAGCCACCAAGAAGTGTGCGAAAACCACCCTTGATCCAACTCATTTTGCTTCCTTTTAGCGTCTCGTGTATCGGAATATTAATAATCAGGTACTGCTTATCTGATCAGTATAAACATTGTTTGAGATATTGGGGTTCTTGCTTCTGTACTTGACCGGGTAAGAAGCCATCATCGTGATCCCACACTTGCCGGTGCGTGTTCCAACCACATTACGCTCCATCCGAAGGTATCCATCCTCACCCCATCGGCTCCCCCATGAGTTCCGAACAATCCAATAGTCCTTCCCATTTTCGGAACCATATCCCACCACAACCACACCATGGTCTAGATCAGTTCCACATGAACCCGTAAACACGCCCTGAAATATTTAGACGTAAAACAACTTATTTGTAAGGTGTCGCTCTTTTAATCATAACAAATGATGATTACAAGACAATTGCCTTGGATCGTTGGAAGATGACTCGGCCCAACATCATCCCAACGCCGAGAGTTGGACCGAAACTCGTCCATTGGAGAATAGGGTCCTCAAAGGACCCCGAAGTACCGCCACCCAAAAAGTTGATGATGGATTAAACTTACCGATGAATATAATTGAAAACCGAGGCCGGATGCTTCTATTCCGACACTCACGGGTTGGTGCGCTACGGCTTTCATCAAAGCTTTCTCGTTCATTGGAGGAACATCTTCATAACCATCAATACTAACAACTTTTGCCTTGTTCTGCACACCAATTTCAAATTCTCAAACACAAAATTACAATCTATGCAAATCAAAATTGGGATTTGTGTAATCAAAGGGTTGTTGGTCTAATTAACGGTATTTGGGTTGTTGGTAGAGTCGGTCTTCCTGAAGATCAAGGATTCAAGCCTCACCGAAAGTGAAAACTCTGTGTGAATTTTGTATAGACGTATGTGTATATATATATATAGTATAAAGAGAGGATCAAACGACAACACGATTAAAATAAGAGAACATGAAAACGACCAAATCAATATGATTTTTCACTGAAATCATATGTGATTACGGAACATGATCAACACAAGTGGTGTGGGGGCGACATGGCACCGTTGAAGGTCACGACCAATGACGTACTAATCACATGTGATTTTACACACGATTTTAGTGTAAAAAATGACGTACTATTTGATTTTGTTCTCTTATTTGGTCACTGTCTATGTGTGTGTATATGAAGTAAAAGATATTTACTCGAATCGGATCGCAAACGCCGTCGACACCCTTGTATGGATAGTCGGATTCTGTGTCGAGTCCGCCATTGGAGATGATGAACGCGAAGGCGTCGTCCATCCCTCCGCCATTACAACCGCTGTTCTCTTTATGATCACAGTCGACAAGTTCTTGCTCCGACAGACTGATCAGTTTTCCGGTGACTATTTTGTTGATTCCCTCCACCGCCGCCACCGTCGAGAATGCCCAACAGCTCCCTGCAACGTTCCAATCAGTTATTTATATGTATAATCTTCTTATAAACAACATCAAATAAGTAAAATGATTATAAAATCATACCGCAGCTTCCTTGATCTTTGACCGGAGCAACGGCTCCGCTCTTCCGCCAGTCAACATTTTCCGGCAACCTTTCGTTACTCTGAACGGCATACCGTTGGCTAATCCCGGCTCTCTGCAGCTTAGCAATCCGACGATCAGCGTAGGATTTGGTACCCAAATACATGGATCGGTACTCGTCGTTGGTGACATCAGCAAACCGGTTCAACCCGACGGTGTAACTCCGGTTGCCGGAGAAATTATGCTCATCAATAAACCTCAAATTGTCCTTAAAGATCTGAAACCTCCTCTCCTTTTCTCCCAAGGCGTTATACGCTCTGCCATGGCGAAGCAGCCACAACTCATACGTATTCTTCAGCTCCTCCTCCGTCCGCCTGGGCGGCGATTTCTCTTCTCCGGCGGAAATATACGTCAGAGAGTAAATTAGACAGAAGACAAGCGCATATGTAGTTGCAGCTGTGGCCATTGTTATTATGGAGAAAAGAATGATGGTTTGAAGAAGAGAAGAGGGGTGGTGGTGTTTAAATAGATCGATTTTTCACCGGCGGTAAATAATGTGGGCGGCGGTGAAAGGTGGCGGAAGGTGGTAAATTCAAACTGTTCTAAAACTTATCTAAAATTAGCTTTCATTGTAATAATTTTATAAGTGATACCATATCATAAAAATATTTTTTTAATTAAATAATAATAAAATTGTTTAGATATTTTGTAGGTGATTTGTTGTTATTTTTTTGAAATACATTAGATTCTATTAAAGAAACGATTGTGAGTAAAAGTTATTAACCTGAATATTTAATTCGTTATGTGAGTTGACTAATTTTAGAGCAGCCACCTGTTTTGCAGATAGTCCGAAGTCACCGTATTTTAACCTCCGTGGCCACAAGAAGATTTTTATTCATTTTTGGATTTGAACCTAAGTCCTCCTGTTACTTTTGACCTTTGGAGCCAAACTTAAACCAATTTGACACCACTCTTATTTATATATATATATATATATTATTATTCATTGACATTTGAGCAAAAATTGGTAATATAAGATGGGTGTGGATACATGTACTCATTTCTATTAGTAAAATGCATCATTTCCTGTTTTTTAGATCAAAGTCAACTAATAAATGTTTTGTACTAACTTTTTTTCAAAAATCTATGTCTTATAAATTTATGTTTTATAATTTTTTTCAACGTTGTTTTTTAATTTTATTTTTCAAAATTTATGTTTTATAATAAATTTTTACCAACTAACTATTTGTAAATTAATTTGAATAACTACAAAATTATTTTTAATTTTTATAATGGTATTGTTAACGTTTTAATTAATTAATAATTTATATATTATTTTTTAAAGTAAATATTTAAAGCTATAGAGATAAAATAATTTAATACAAAAAAGATCATCAAAATAGGTTAATTGATAAATCAACAAATAAAGTACAAAAAATCTGGAAATATTACAATTCAATCAAGTGAAATAAATTATGCAGTACAATTAGTAGATAGCAGTTGCTCGTACTTATTTATTCGGGTCATGTACGGAGTAGCCCATGCGGTTGCGTAATTATATTTGAAACGAAACCAATTTGGCACGATAAAAGGCATCGGTTGCCCTTCTGCCAAAGATATTTTCACGTAATGATTACTGTTAGCTTACCCAATTGTAAAAGCACGGCGGAGGACTAGATCGAAGTGCAAAAAATGTCAGACTACCTATAGCTGTTAAAGAATGTAGTATGAAACTCCACAAATGTTGATTAATGTATGGATGTGCATAATCTTTTTGGTCGAAATATGAATTATGTATCGTTTGTTCATTGTTCGCCAAAATATCAAACTCCACAAATGTTGAAGCGTCTGGATAACCATGCCTATGAGGTTCCTGAGTTGGTGGGTCGACATTGAAAATCGTTTTTCCAACTAGCCATTAACAAGTTCGAAATCGTAAAGAGAGGATGTATAAATGGTTACTTGTGAATGAAAATATAAATTTCACTTCCCTTTTTATGGATTATTTTCTGAATTTTTAAGGTTACAGAATGATTAATGATATATTCTATGAAAATATAGATAAAATGAAAATTAAGAATCTGCATATGAATTTTTAAAGTTTTTATTCAATTTTTATAAGCACACTCTACGACTATATACATATGATTAAAATTTGTAAAATTATAAAATAAATAATATATTATCTTTTATAAATAACAAGGTTTATTGCTTTCTAATTTATTGGTTTTAAATTTGATTAATATATAATACAAATAAAAATTATAATTACTATAAACTAATAATTATTATTATCTATCAATTAAAAAAAAAGGTAAGAGAGATGGAGGGACATAAAAGCGAAAGAGAGAGAAAAAAAAAAGTTTTTTCAGATTTTTAAGCCATGTAGGGGTTATTTACTTGCGGTTTAATTAGGTTTATTGGTCTATCTGGCTTATTCGCACAACTCATTTTGGTTGTTTACTTACAGCTTATCCGCACAGAACATGGTTTAATCGTACAAATAGAAATGGTGCGTTATCTCCATTCAACTATAAAAATGACACCCCTACCCCTACCCCTTATTTAAAGCACCGCCTCCTTTACATATGAGACACCACATCTTCGGCCTCTTTATGATTTTTTGTTTTGATGTTCAAATAATTAATATTGGAGAGTAAATCGATCATTTATTTTATTCAAACTATTGGTTCAAATAAAAAAAAAAATAACAATACTCATTTATCCATACATAACTTAATAAAAAAATTTGACAAACAGTCTTTTAATATTATTAATAGTTTTTTTTTAATAGATAAAGTTAGGGGCAGTGGAATTAAAGAATGAATGTAGTCCTATAATAGGGGAGCAGAAGAAAGACGATTGACGGATTCGTAATTCATTTCCAAGAGGGCCTTGCCTTGTTATCTGCGCCTTATCTTCAAGGTTCGGACCCACCAATCCACCATCCAGTTATTGGTAATTGGTAATGGCGTGAGATCTGACCGCCATTTTCATCCAATCCAAGTTCTAGTCGTCAAGACCTTTACTTTTTCTAAAATAGTTAGAAAAATTTTATAAGAATGTTTTCCTTTTTTATTACTATTTACACTTTTTTTAATGTTAAATTCGGATCAATTCATGTATTAAAAAATGAGTTTTGATGTTAATGTGTATGATTATGAAAAGAAAATTATTAAATAGAGGTGTATTTAGTAATGTACAGAAGTACAATTAGTCTCCTCTTAAACTAGTTATGTACCTATGCAATGCAGTGAGATATAAAAGGTCCATTAAGAGCATCTCCAACAGATTCCTCTAATTTTTTTTTTTTCAAAATGAAGAAGGTCAAAATCTATATAAAAAATTACATTCATCTCCAATAGATTCTTTATTTTGGAGAATCTAACATTATTATGATATTAAAATATTATTTCTCACCTCTAAATATTTATTCTCATAATTTTCTATTTGTGCTTTCACTTGATAATCATTTTTGGAGGAAAAAATCATTTTCTTTCCTACTTTCTCCATTTTGAAGATAGTTTTGGTAAAGTTGTTGGAACAAAATATAAGCTCAAAATTCTTATTTTCGGCATTTTTTCTATTTTGGAGAAGCTGTTGGAGATGTTCTAAGACTTATTAATTTCAAAATCAAATTCTTTCAATATATCATAAAACCTACTACAGTTGTACCAACATTAGATTCAAGTATACATCCATCCAAAATGTCGGTGTTAATAACTTCTGCAATCATCAATCATTTATGTGGAATGTGTATAAAACCAAACCCTTTAGCTATTGTAATAATAGCTGCAATGAATAAGATTTAGACTAACAGCACGACCCTGTTGAATAATAAATCTTCTCATCGTTCCTTTTTTAGGCCAGATATCCACACAAAAAAAATACAAGCGTCGAAGGTGTGGTGTTTAAATGGAATTTTGGGGCGTTCTCGTCAAATATAAACTTCAGGTTGCAAAACTCGTGCATAATTAATAAGTTGTCGCCAACTCTCCCACAAACTCCAATTATAATTCTTATGTATGATTTCTGAATTTATTCATAAGTAATTCGCGAGATTCCATTTGTGGTAAAAGTGGAAATAGTAGCAAAAACGTGATGCCGATATAAGAACCAGAACGAGTTTAAAATATATGCATTTAGCAATACACAAACATATAATTTTAGAAAAACAGACATACCTTCCCGACATCATTCCTCCCTAAATCAACCAACATGATGTTCTCCGCACATTGTTTTTCATCATGAAGTAGTTGATTTTCCAACATAAAGTCTTCTTGGAGACTTCTCCCGTCTCCTTTAGCTTATGCTTAAACATTATATATATATATATATATATACATATATAATTCTTGAATCTGAAAGATCATGAACATTCAATACCTTAATCACTTATTTTACACAGTAAAAACATACGGACGTGTGCCAGAACACAACCACGACACTAGCATTAGTGCATTTTGTAAAAAACGTAATATATATTATTATTCTCGACCAATACTTAGCTACTTATAAGCCATGTGATGAGCTCACGGTCCCTGTCGTTTTGAGGAGATGTGGAAAAAGGGTCATCCTTCCCATTTGAATTTCAGTTAGATTATTTCTTGGAGAGCTGATTTTCGAGGAAATCTAGCACTGAAAGCCACTACAGCTAAGAAAAGAGGGAGGTTGAACACATTGTCCACATCACAGTGAGATGTAAAGGGTCAGTATTTGATTTTTGAAGTCAATGGGTTCATTTTACCTTCAAAAGTTCGGTTCTATAGGAAAATGGTGCAAAATTTTGTTATGGGAAGGAAGAAATACGATATTTCATTTCTGATTATTAATACTGTATATGATTTGATACTAAAAGAGGGTAGTCCAAACAATCAAGCAGATAGGTTTCTTAACCGTTGTTCAAGTACTACATTTAACTTTATTTCCAAAGATTCCAACAAATTTATGGCTTCTTGAAATCCTTCAGTTGTTGTATCCTTGACAGATTTCTATCGACATCAGAAACGTTTGCAAGCGATACAACCACATTTAGAATATGGAAACAACAAGCGTAATCTGATCATGCATAAGCTACAACAAACCATTGTGTTATAGTGTTTCCCAGCAAGATGATTTGTGACTTTTCTCTGTGAACAAGAGCAGACAAAGATGAATCATACAGAACTGAACGCAAAACAAGTACCCTGAACCAACATGTATTTTACAAGAGACCTCTACAAAACAAAGTTTTCTGTAAAATGTTCATTTAAAACAACTTATGTTTCTTTTTGTAAAAGTGTTTATCAACTTATGTGGTGTCAAACCGAAGTTTTCTTATGGCGGTACCAAAACGTAATAAGCTGATAAGTATTTCTTTTTTCTCATCCAAACACTAAAAACTCCTTATTACTGGCATACACAATAACAAGTTAATTAGTTAAAAATGAGTAATTTATCAAAAACTCCTTATTACTGGTATCAAACCGGTATGAGTTATTACTGGATTGGATCAAAAGCTCGATTAAATTTATCAAATCGAGGTGAGCTGAGTCATATGAGTATACAATGGACATGTTTATTTGTTCTAAAGTCAGACATCCAAACTATAAAATTTATCAATTTTGGGTCAATAAACGAGTTAATCAAAATCGATTTGAATCGATAACAAACTGATAAACTTGACTTTTATGTCATGATATATAACTCAAAAGTGTTAAAGAATATCTTGCTCGAGTGCTATTTTGCAGAAGTTATTTGAATTCGAGTCTAATATTATTTTCTCAATCTGAAATCAAACAAACCGGTACTCAATTCGACTCGATTTCTGATCGTCATTTCTAACGACAAGCCCTTGATTCCAAACAGTGTCCTACATGCTCTCGTTGATTTTTCTAAGGTCGAAGTTCATTTTTAATGTTTTGGCAACTGAAGTTTGTGTGTTTTCATGTTTTAACTGATAATTAAATGTTAATTAAAGATATTTTAATTATTTTAAGTCATTTTGTCAAACATTTATTATAAAGTCGGATGATTATTTTAATATTTTGCAGTCGTGTAGCTTATTGAAATCTTCGCAAAATTTGATGACCTTGAAATACAAAACATACCAAAACAACATGATTAACTATATTATGTTACAGTCAAAACTAAATAACTGAAACAAGATCACATTGGAAAATTACCAATCAAGTTCCAATGCAAAGTCATTGCACCAACTAAAAGTTGTGACTTAGGGGCCGTTTACCTAACGTTTACTCGGATAAGTGAACATCAAGTCGCATTACCTTACCGGATAAATATGGTAAGGATCAAGACTTACCCGATAAGAACGACACAAGAATCAAGAGTCTTACCCGGTAAGTGAAGGGGATGACTTTTACCACGGTAAGAGCTTACCGGGTAAATTGCATACAATACCGTTTTGGTGGACAAAAATCTTACCCGCTAAGTAAATGATAATATTAAATTTTACCGGTAACCGCTTACTGAGTAAGTGTTTGGTAAACGATCTCTTAGTACATAATTCATTAGGTTTTATACCTATTTTTTTTTTTTATAAAAAAACCCCTAAAATTATATAAGAAAAATACAAAACTGTTTAAAATTGTGAAGACTAAATATAATTATACTTTTATCAGATAAAATTGAACATGTAAAATTAAATAAACATAATTATAAAATAAAATTAAAAACATGTAAAGTAAAATAATAATATTATAAGTTCCATTTTATCGTACACATATGTTGTTTCAAATGCAACATATCACATATATACAACCAATGCAACCCAATAAATTGAATTTTTTTAAAAATGATAAGAGTTCGTTAATTTATTATGATTTAAATATTTATGAAAGATGAATAAGATTAATTAATTATGATCAGTACTTTATATTAGGAAACGATCAAATCTTCTATAAAATTACATATTCATCAAATTAAATCGACGGTTGAGATTGAGTTGTATTGGTTGTACAAATGTAAAGGGTTGTATAATATCTCACATATATATATATATATATATATATATAACAATTTTTATGGTGAAATTGAAATAATGACTGAATTTCTATCTGTACAACAATTTTGACCATCTATTTAGGTCGAAGCTTCAAACATAGGTCATCATTTTCGTGTTTCCTTGCATATATTTTCATTATTTTCTAGCAAACATTATTCCTTCGAACACGTATTTGTTTAAAAAATTTCACGATATTTGCATTATTTTTGTTTTTCAGGTACCAAAAGAACGAAAAAGTAGGGGTCCACAAAACTTGGCCTAAATCGAGAAAATTGAATAACCAATATGGGATGACGTTGGAACTATAACTTGTTCTCTTCATTTTCAAGATTTCTTTAAGGAAAAAGCGATTTATGATTTAGGGGCTGTTTATCAAACACTTACTCGGTAAGTGCTTGCTGGTAAAATTTAGCACTATCATTTACTTATTGGGTAAGATTTTAGTCCACCAAAACGATATCATATGCAACAATTTACCCGGTAAGCGCTTACCGTGTCCTCACTTATTGGGTAAAACTCTTGGTCCTTGTCTCGCTCTTACCGAGTAAGATTCTTGATTCTTATTATATTCATCGGGTAAGGTAATGTGACTTAGTAAGCGCTTACCCAGGTAAGACTTTGGTAAACGGGCCCTTAGTCTTGTGTGGTTTAAAATAAAATCAAATCAAACCTTTTTTTTTTTCGTTCAAACTTGAAATATTATCATTTTAAATCTATATTTTTCAAATTAAAACAAATTCTCAAGATTATCTTAGTTAATAGTGTTGTTTAGAATCTTATCAGTAGTCTGTTTCATTATATTATATTTTTTTAGTTCACCATCTATTCCAAGGGTGTTCCTAGTACGGTTTAGAGTAAAAAATGCAACCCAAACTTGAAAAAGAGTTTTTTCTTAAATGTTTTTTGATGTAGTATCTATATTGTATTATAAAACATTCGACAAAAACTCTTAAAAATCATTTTGTATGCATGAAGTATTGTTTATTAATGCTTATTACTTAAAATTTAAGATTACAAGTAAATTGTGCATAAGTACAACTTATTAAAGCTTTATTTTTGAATTTGTATAACTAACTGCAAATAAACATAATTAAATATAGGAAAAATATCTCATTTTAATTATAAAAAATCTAAAATATAATTAGGAAAATTATTGAGTTCTAACATAATCATTATCTTTATGAAAATTATATTGTTAAACCATAGTAAATTAATTCGTTATTTGACATAAATTAAATTATAATAAAAACTTGAATAAAAAAAATTGTACAAAAAACGATAACTTTTAAATAGTTAATTTGATATTAATATCGATATATTTTTTTTTAAAATTTTATGATATTTTCAAGTTTATTTTTATTCAAAAACAAAAATATTATCTTTCTCGAAACCATATAAACCGTATTACATCAACAGAGACAAAAAAAATAAAATAAAACATTAAAACAAAGATGTATCTCATTACATTACATAATTACCCTCGTAATAGATAAATATAGATACAGATACTTAGGGGCTGTTTGTTTTTAATAAAAAAGCTCTTAATGTCCTCTTAAGTCTGAATCGGTCAGACATAAGAGGATTCAATGTGTTTGTTTTTTTTTCAATTAAGAGCTTAAAAACTCTTATTAGGTCTGAAAATTTAAGTGGTTGAGAAATCTCTTATTACCTCTTATTTCAAATCGTCGCCTATCTACTCTGATCTCTTTACGCTCGATTTATCTGGATCAACTCTTATGTCTCGATCTCTCATCTCTCAACTCTGTCAACTGTCAATTCATATCAACTCTCGATCTCTCATCTTCAAACTTCAGATTTCAGACGTAAAAAACAAATAGTTTAATTGATTCAGATTTCAGACTTTAGCACCACCTCTTAAAAATCAGAAGTGAATTCAGACTTTAGACTTCAGCACCTTTTAAAAAACAAACGCCAACTTAGACACCGGATAAACAAACTTTTAAATTTTGATTTTCCATTTTTTATTTTTTTTAAGAATCCGTCTAACAAACTAAATCCGTTCTTTTCAAAAGTAAAACTGAAATCTAAATTTGGTCGTTGGATGACATCAAGCAAACGGTTCGGTTTATCTGCTTTTCTGATCCAAAACCATTACCACACACCAAATGGTTCCCGTCGCCACCTCGGCGGCGATGGGTTGCCCAATCCAAAACTTGTCAGCTGCTAATACTTCATCTGAAGAGCAATATATAAGCTCGGAGGAGAGAGCGTGGGCTCACTGGAGGAAATTGAAGCAGCCGAAGCTTATAGTAGCGCCAATGTACGAGGGATCGGAGCTTCCGTTTCGAATGCTATGTCGGAAGTACGGCGCCGAAGCTGCTTATACACCTATGCTTCACTCTCGCAACTTTGCAGAGAGCCAAAAGTATCGCTCCAGAGAATTTAGCACCTGTAAGGTACATAATAACGATTCGTTGATGAGACCTAATTTTCGTATACAGTTGCACCTCATTGTGTTGATTCGAAACATAAATTTGCTGGATTTTCTACTTCCCAATAGTTTGAGTAGGAAATTTTCAAGTTATTAACGGAATTGCCCTAACGTCGAGCTCTATCGCAAGTCTCTTATTGTCAAATTGTTGAAGGCATCGACTATTTCCTATTCGAATTGGACCCCTTTTTGCAAATTGATGTTCTATCTGTATTAATTTTGATTCTAACTCATCACTATCGGAAACAAAACTTCTGCAGTAATATGACTAGAGTTATGCTATGCATGATGTTGTCAGACAGCACCAGGAGGATTACTGGAATTTCAATATTCTCAAGCCCAAACCAAAACCATCAAAAGTATGGAACTAACTAGGATCTTGATGAACACCCAAATGTAACTTAAAAAATAGGATGATTAAAACTCTACGTAAATAGCACACATATATGAAATAAACAAAAAAATAAGAGAACAAACAACGTCGATCTAAGGTGGTTTCATCGTCAATGAGATAGTGTATGGTGACGTGAGAGAGGAGGGAGCTTAGTAAAAAAGTTTTTCTACAACACATGATTTTCTCAAGATAACTTTGTTTGTGCTTAACTTGTCAATCTTCTACAAAACAGAGGAAGAACACACAAAATGGAGGTTCAAAACACATATACCCTTATCTTGAAACTAAAAACAAACCTGTAAGGGCACTTGTGGAGTTTGACATAGTAAGTGACACAAAAAGAGCAAACTTGCACGGCTTGTTTGGCATGGCATTCAGCCCATGTGTACAAATCTGGCACATGTGCATCCTCCAGAAACCTTGGTCACATTATGTCACGGCCTGGCCTTGCACAATAGCTAAGAAGTTATCATCACTTCTTTCAACAGGGATAACATGTTCGAGTTTCACCTTTGTGCTTATACTATATTGAATAAAAGGTATTGCCAAAGATATATCTGTTCAATTTTAGTGTTTGCAACAATAAAGTAACACTTTGAAGTTCGAAATGTCAAATATGTTGCTCCATTTTATGGTTCAAAGTAATTCGGGTTTGTAGTGACAAAGAATTACATCAAAACATTATAATAAAAATTACAAACTGAAAATGTTCGTTTGTAGTGACAAAGTCTATATCGATTTGTATTTGCGAAATATTGTTTTGACATAAAAGTCATAACGTAGTGAGTAGCTCTCTCATGCTTATTGAGAAATTTGAGTATTATGAACCTTTCAATGTAAGACATTCTCATGTTATATTTGATTTCCACGACAGGAAGATCGTCCGCTATTTGTCCAATTCTGTGGAAATGATCCAGATATCTTATTAGAAGCAGCATATCAAGTGGAATCCTATTGTGATTATGTTGATATTAACTTGGGGTAACCTTTCTCATCCCTCCTCCTTCCCTCTCCAAAGAAAATAAGTTCCTTCGACTGTATCTCTGGCACCAGTTATTTAGAAGAATAACTTTTTGACAGTTTTTTTAAAGCATGACCTTCTGACAGATTTAAGGTCTCTATCTAACAGAAGAAGCCTCAAAATCTATGAGAAAGTCATGCATTTAGAAAAAATCCATGAAAGGATTATTCTCCCAATAACCCTTATGGCACTTTCGACTTAACATATTTCCTAATGTCTATCACTACACTTAGATTATAAATGTTGATATCGAATCATCAATATGCCATATGTGCATTCGCATGAATGACGGACCTACACAAGATAATTATGGTCATTCAAATTAGCATCCGGCAAATGCACCATTCATGGAAACAACTCCTCTACTCTTTAAGGGTAGAGGTCAGGTCTGTGTACATCCCCAGACCCCATCTCCGGGTGGGATATACTATGCTTGTTTGGTTTCCTCTATTCAAATGTGCATCTGGCAAATGACCATTCACAGATACAGTCATTCTACTCTTTGAGGGTAGAGGTCAGGTCTGCGTACATTCCCCAGACCATACCGGGCTGGTTTGGTTTGGTTCAAATGCGCATCCTGGTCAGGCAATTTGGATGCTTTAAATGAGTTTCAAATGATCTAAGAACAAGTTCCTGAGATTCAGTACGTTATTTGGCATGTTTGGAAAATGGAAATTCATGTTGTTTTATCTCTTTCTCACCATCAACAATTTTAAAACATTGGTTTTTTTTTTATTCTTTAGATGATATTCACCTTTCAACATATTCAGAACTTGAATAGTTTTCATTTCACATATTAGGTTGAACCCTTCTATTTAAGTTGGTAGTAACTTATTCAGGATTCATGAGGTGGTACTACCCCTATGTTATTAAGGTATTGGATTATTCAGACCAAGTATGTTAAAGTTATGTATATCATTAAGCTTATTGTTAAGTCACTTTCTATATCATTAAGCCACCAATAAACAGTCATGTATAGCTGACCGAATAAGCAGTGAGTGTCATTAAACTCGTTAAGCTGCTAATAAACAGACCCTAGACAGGTTTGCATACATCCTACCCTGCCCCTACCCTACTTTATGTTGGTGGTTTTAGTGTCATTGGCTATTTGGTATGATCGGGGTTCATGCAAGACCTAAAGGGTTCCGTTTAGCTGTAATGCAGGCTTAGAGATGCGGGGTGCACACTTGTATAAACGGACCCAAACGTGGGGTTAATTATGTGCCATACTGGATTATAAGGGCATGACCCTGCAAAATGGACGAAACTTCCCTTTACTCAGACAATAAACCCCACACAGAGCAGGGCCATCAGGTCAACAATTTCACTACAAACGAATTTGACTAAAACCCTTCTATTCCCGTTCCTATTGAGAAAATGCCAAATTCCAAATCCTTTTAACATATTTCATTCCAATTCATGCTAACCAAACTTGTGGTCAAATTTCATTCCAATTCCTTTAAAGTCAAGCTGCTTTAAAAATTCTCCTTTACTTGTGCCAATGGTTGGAGGTAAACTGGTTATCTCACCCATTGTGTTTTTATGTTCAGATGTCCTCAACGTATCGCCAGCAGAGGAAACTATGGTGCATTCCTTATGGACGATCTTCCGCTAGTTGAATCTCTCGTCAAAAAACTAGCCACCAACCTTTCTGTTCCCGTATCCTGCAAAATCCGCTTATTTCCCGTACTTCAAGACACGATAAACTACGTCAAATTGTTAGAGGATGCTGGTTGCTCACTAATAGCTGTCCATGGCCGAACAAGAACCGAAAGAACCAGCGAACGGGCCAATTGGGACGCCATTAAATCCATCAAATCCGCCGTCAAAATTCCGGTTCTCGCAAACGGAAACGTTCGTCACATGGACGACGTTCAGAACTGCTTGGAAACTACGGGTGCCGAAGGGGTACTTTCAGCAGAGTCTCTCCTCGATAATCCGGCATTGTTTGCCGGATTCCGAGGCGGCGAATGGGTGGTCGATGGCGATGATGGGTTTGAAGACGGGAAATTGGACCGAGGACAGTTGGTGGTGGAGTACTTGAAGCTTTGCGAGAAGCATCCGGTTCGATGGGGTATTGTAGTTTCTCATGTTTATGGCATGTTGAGGGAATGGTTGGAGATGCATCCGGACGTAAGAGACGATTTTAATAACGAAAAGAATTTGAGTTTCGAGTATTTATACAGTATGGTTGATCGGCTCCGGGCTCGTGGCGTTTACTTTCCTCTTTACGTCAAGACTCGAACGTAAACTTGGTATTTTTTTTCGAGTTTACGATGTATATTTGTATTACTGAGGAGGTTTCGAAAACAAATCATACATTTATGAACCTTACAATCCAATCAATTGAGATATTAATGGAAATACTGAGGGTTTATTTACTATGATCTGAATATTTATGGAAAGGAAGACGATTAAAGTTCATTAGTCATGATCAATACTTTATATTAGAAAACAATCGAGATGTTTACGGAACCACATGTTCATTAGGTTAAATGGACGATTGAGATTGATTTGTAAAAAATGTGTTCGTGTTTGTATAATATTATAGAACATTGTTCTCTATTTTTTAATAAATTAAAATTCAAGTTTACTACTCGTTATTATTGTTTATAAGGGGGTGTTTGGGATTGCTTATTTGAAATAACTTATGTTTTTTCTGCAAAAGTCCTTATCAACTTATTATAAGTAAGAACGGTTTAACATCTTCAAATACTCCTTATTATCAGTTTGGCACCGATATAAGTTGTTTATCCAAACACTCAAAAGTGCTTATTACCGGTGTCACACCGGAATAAGTCAATAAGTTGTTTTTATAAACAGTCCCAAACACCTCCTAAACCTATTAATTTTTTAGAATTTCACATTTGAATTTACTTAGAATTAACTTGTAAATACGTTCATATATATAAGATTTGGTTTAAAGGAAAATTACAAAAGAGTGGAAAACACCGACTACTTTTAATCAAATGGATAATATAAATGCCTTTTGGTAGGGGTGTGAAGTAAATCAACCAATTTAATTGGAACTGAGCGGCCATAAATTGGATATCTAATTATAATTGGATCATATTGAAAATTTCAACATCCAATTTAGATCTGTCGGTTCTCGGATGACAGTCCAGAACCGACCAAAAGCGAACTGAATCGACCAACATCCAATTAATCATTCAATGACCATCCAATTATCCATTCAACCATTATCCAACTGTCATCCAATTAATTTGTTTTTAAATTGCTTAAATCGAATATTGTTTTATGTGAGGCTTCGATTTTTTAGCTTTCGTTGTGTTTATTTTAACACATATTAAAAGTGATTAATTAATTTGTATTATTGTTAAAGAATTTGATCGAATTAACACACTGGATGGATCCAATCCAATTGGATATTTGATGGATATCAAATAAAAATATCTAACGGATGGAACCAAACCGATCCAATCATCCATTGAATTGGATTGGATCGGTTATCTAATGTTAATCAAATCGGATCGATTGACAAAATCCAATATCCAATTAATGATTGGATCCGTTTGGTTCCCCTCACATGCAATAGATGTCAACCGATAAAAAGACCTAACTTTTGGTCAATTTCATATTCATTAACATAAGTATATTCCCTTACTAAAAAGAAGTTGCCAAAAATCATGAAAATCTTCTATTATCCTTCATAAAAAGTATTTTACAATATACAAAAAAAATCTCCACAAAAATATTCCACAAATGATTACTTTTGAATTTCAACTTCTAGTTATATGCACATATGAATAAGCCATGGTATTTATAGTTTTTCATTTCTAGGTTGCATGTACATATAAATAAGTTATTGTATTTACCGTCTTCTAATTTTTGAGTTTCATGCACATGTGAATAAGGTATTGTATTCAACCGTTTCAGTTTATGAACTATATGCACTTGTGAATGCGTCTCATGATAAATGTTGAGGTCTATTAATATAACATATTTTTTAAATATAAATTTCATGTATTATTTGTAAATAGAGTTGCTTTTAGTACAAATCATTATTGTATAAATCATTTCCCGAAAGCTAAGAATAACTGTTGTGGTTTTGAAAACCTCGTAATCTTTGTTATCCTCTTTTCAAATATTTGGCTAATTAACAATATTAACCATGAATTTATATGTCAACACCGATTCACAATTTAACCACATGCAAAATCATAAATCGAGATGGGCAGATAACAGAACAAAACTGAATCGAGGGTTCAGGTCTCAACTTCAGTATCAAGATGTATCGTGTTATATTATGTGCGTACACAACTAATATACACGTATATGTTCCTATATAGGGGGCTAATCATTGAGAACCCATAGAATTATGAGAAATTTGAGAACCATCGCATCATGTGTAATTTCATATGATTATTTTCATGTAATGTTAAGATTTAAGGTTTTGATTAGCATGTATTTGTTTTACTATGTAAACTTATATTATGTGTTTGTAAAACAAAAAAATATACGCAAAAAGTTTCATGTTATAAATCAGATACGTACGAAACGAACAAATTACAAATCAAATATACGTTAGGTCAATATCATAAATCTAGCCATCATTTGAAAATATAATATGGAAATTCTTTTCCAACTTAAGTCTAAGTAACGAAATTAAGAGGTTGTTTGTTTACAGTCTTAATAGTTCTATTAGGAGACATCATCTGAATTGTTAAGATGTGAATCTTATTTGGAAAAACCTTAATGATTTTAAAACCCCTCGAATGATTTTGTATTATAGACCTCCCTTAACCATTCAGCGCCCTAATTTCATTGTAAACATTTACCAAACAATTATATTTCATTTTGCACTACATCATAAGAGCCTCTTAATCATTCTGACCACTTAATTCGTCCACATCAAACTATTCAGCAATTACCAAACAACCCCTAATACTTAGATCCCATAAACTTAATTGATCAATATTGGATAATATAATTAAAATTCGATTGAAATAATTGATTTTTCTATTGATATGGAAAAATATCAATTACTTGGATAACAAAAAAGTACGTCTTACAAAAGTGACAGTACCATCATACATACCATTGAAAACAAAAGTGACAGTAGCATGAAAAACAAAAATCATGGTCTAATGGTTAAGTATCCAAAAAACCATGGTTGAACAAATTTGTGAACCATGGAAATCGAGAAATCGATGACCATGGTTGAAAATAAGGAAATCAATGTCTGGAACTATGGCAATCGAGAAATCGAAGACCATTATTGGAAACTAAGAAATCGATGTCTTCAAGGAAATCGAGAAATTGAAGACCACGGTTGGAAGAAATCGTGTCCGGAAGAAATTGAGAGATTGAAAACCAAGAAATCGTAACTGGAAGAAATCAAGATCAAAGGGTATCAGATATTGTAAAGAGGGTAATTTGATAATCTTAACATTTAGTCCCAAGTTGTTCCACCTACTTTGATGGAACAAAATCTTCACTTTCGTTCCATGAAAATTAGTTTTTGTCCCATTACATACCAAAAATCTTCATTAAAAATATTATAATAATATAATTTATGTTAAAATCTCTTTCATAAAAATTTATATCCTGGTTTTTTTAATTAAAAAAATATATAGAAAAGGAGATGATTGTAAAACCAAAAATCTTGAAAATTGAAGATGGTGTAGATATAGGTAGGGGTGTTTATGGGTTGGTTTGATCGAGTTGAAGACATTTCAACAACCTAACTCCATGCTTGCGGTTTGGAAAAATCTTAACCCAACCCAACTCAAACCAAAGTGCAAYCCAACCCAACCCGTACGGGTTGGTCGGGTTGATACTTTGATATATTAAAATATTCTTCTAACCTTGAATATATTATTTCTCTATTCATAATTTCTTTTTCATCATCAACCATTTGATACAACTTATTCATATTTTTTACGTATATCACATTCAGTTAATTTTCTCAATTTACATATATATATTCACAGTTACTGATCATATATATGAATGAGTTATATAGAAATATGAATAGATTGAAAATATATGTATATGAAAAGCATATATGATAGTGTAAATGTCTAATGTATATACTAATAGAAATTCAACAATCAAATTAAATCCAAGAAATAATATGAAATATGGTTCATCGGGTTGGGTTCAAATAATAATAACCCTATACCCACGGTTTAATAATTTTACAACTCGATTAGACATCTTGTTGCTTCGAATTAAGTTAGTTAAACTTGATCGGATTAGGTTGATCAGGTCGGGTTTTTTTAGCACATACATGTAGCGATAGCACCTAGGAAAGTAAAAGATTCCCACTCTCGGATCGGAGTATCGTTGATTCCAGACTGAACATCCGACGGAATCGTAAATCGCCATGTCCACCGACTTCCAATCCATTCCTCTCATCGGTAAATTTCTTTCAATCCCTAGATGTCAACTTCATCATTCTCATGTTACTCCATCTTTCCACTTAATCTCCTCAAAATTGCAATACTCTAACGTTTGAAGGAACTTCTGGATTCCTTATGTCGATTGCAGTATTCGATTATATTTAAAACTTCATCTTCTTAACCAGCACTGTTCCATTAATTAGATGTTTCTCAGAATGAATATTACTCAAGTTTTAGTCTGGTTCAGTTATTCTGGATAGAAATGCAATCATCTGAGGTTGAAGTAACCTCAGGAAGTTCTCTACTCCTTATGTGAAACTTCGTATTGCACTATTCTGTAAGATCTAAAAGTTCATCGTCTTAAGCAGCACTGTCTCCGAATCTGAATTTCCAGCTTTTTCCCAAAGTGACGATTTCAGTGTCGATTAACAGCCCAAATTGCATAAGTTACGTAGGGTTACATTTTATTTCTAAACAGATAAGAATTCATTTGGGTGCAGAGAATTGATAAGTAAGTTAACAATTAAAAAGTCTGTTATGGAGCTAAAAGGCTAGAATCCTTTTTATGTTGATTTTGAATTTGGAAAGTAGTCTGCTGATTCAGGAAGCAATCGGTTTGGTATTATGTAGGATATTTTGTCAAAAAGGAAAAGTGTCTTGATGTATTGTGGGTTGCTTCTGTTATGAACAGATATTAGTCCTCTGGTTGCAAAGTGTGATGATCCGGATGTTGGTGAGGACAAAGATGTTGCAGAAGTTGTTAGACTTCTAGATCAAGCTTGTAGAGAAGCTGGATTCTTTTATGTGGTAATTGCGTTATTGTGTGCCATCATAAGCTTCGCGGTCATTGAGGGTGCGTTTGGTGTGTGACAGGACATGACTAATGAGACAAAAATGCATTTCTTTTACGAAGATCGGTAAATTACTAAATTGTTCATGTCAAATTAAAACCCTAAAACCTTTCACAAATTCTTTACTCGCCTACTTCACTCTCTCTCGTCTCGTCCAGTCTAGTCTGCATACCAAAAGCACCCACATTTTACATGACAAAATAGAACATGGATCATTGTTCCACATTTGGTAGGACTTTTATGTGGAACTTGGAACAGAGTGGTACATAGTGGAACAAGGTGGAACAAACCTATATTTTACATGATAACCTCAAAATAAAACCTTTTCTTTTAAAGCATCAAATACACCTTCCTCTCTACATTTTATTCATTCTTTAAATTTTATTTATTGTATTTTATACTTTTAAACTTTCACTTTTTGCTATCTTCAAAATATTTTTTATGCGGTTTCTATATTTTGGTTAATTTATGTAATTTATTAAATATTAATGATAAACAACAATATAGAAAAAGTATAAAATAAAAATTGAAAACTACATAAACTTTTTATTTTGATGTCATTTTTAATCATCTTGACGAAAACTTTCCTATGATATATTTTGTTATAAAAAATGTATTTTATTATAATTTAATAAATTACATAAATTAATCAAAATATATAAAAGATGTAAACAACTCGTTAGAGGGAAATTGGTCATTTTATCTGTTCTGCCGTGTTCAAATCTGTCTTACCAAATGCTGAACAACTATCTTGTCCTATCCATTATGGATGCCAAATGCACCCTGTGAATACACAGATACTTGCATGCTGCTATAAGTTCTCAGCCTTCTGTTTTTTAGTTGATAATAGATATTATTTGAACAGAAAGGTCATGGTATTCCTGATTCTCTTATTAAAGAGGTTAGAGACATGACACATGAGTTCTTTGATCTACCTTATGAGGAGAAACTCAAGATCAAATTGTCTGATGCAACTGGATACAGGTTTTTCCCAATTACATTAATATCTTCACTTTGATCAAATTATAGAAAATATATTCCACAATCATTCAAGGTTTAATATGCAGGGGATACCAGCGAGTCGGTGAAAATATAACTAAAGGCATACCTGATAGGCACGAAGCTATCGACGTAAGCTCTATATTGTTGCCTTAAACTTCATACTTTATAGCCTTATAGGTGCTCATATTGGGGATAAACTATATTGTGAGTTCCACTTGTGCAAGTATGATGAATATTAAACTGAAACCTGTTTTCATGTCATTTAACATTCATATATTCAGTCCTTTGGATAAATCACCATAAATGAGTTTTCAATTAAAAACATGATCTTCTATCTTTTTTAGCTCAATGACCTTCATCTGCTCTGCCTCTAGTTCAAAACAGTCAACTCCCGTAAAAACTTAGAACTACACTAGATGACTATATTCTTACATTCAGCTTTAGATTAAGGTTGAGAACGGAACTAAATTTTGAACTTTTTGTTGGATGGCAACTGAGTGATTTTGTTTCTTGACTTGAATGGTTTTGAGGTCCGTAACTACCGATATCAGAAAGTGCTCCTAGTCCTAACTAGTTTGTGCATGAAACTTTTGTTTGTTTACAATGTCTTTTGATAGAGGAATTGTTCTATTGGAGATAAGTACTTATAAGTCGAATTATCTTTCATGAGCAAATTATTACTTTAACTTGATATAGATGGAAACAACTTCATATCAAGAATATTTTCCTTTTTATTTGAGACATGATATCTTTCGCTCCTTATATATATAGAGAGAAGTTCCGTTAGGAAACCAAAATTGATTAGGAACCCGGGAACGGCTGATAGCGTGCCGTGTGTCCCTCTGCAAGATGAATATGCATCATGAACATAAAGTTGTTATTTATCATGAATCACTCAAAGATGATGAATACGGACGCATGATGAATAACAGGCTCATATTCTTGATGAATATGCCACGCGTGACGCTGTGGGTGGTCGCCTGGTTCCTAATCAAATTCAGGTTCCTAATGGAAACCGCCCCTATATATATATATATATATATAGAGAGAGAGAGAGAGAGAGAGAGAGAGAGAGATGCAAAATACATGTGATTTAATATGTAATTTGGCCATTTCTTATTTTCTTAAATAGGTACCATTCTCGTATGCCTACCTCTCAATATATAGCTTATATCGATATAATAGCAATCTATGGTTCTGGTGGACATGGTAGATTTTGCTTCCAGTCTTGTAATTGTTTTTTCTGACAGTGCTATAAAGAACTAAACAAAGGGATGTATGGAGGTCTTGGCGACCCATTAGTAGGAAACAACAAATGGTATCTCATACATTGATCTCTCTCATATTCATATCACTTTGGATTATTATCATTAACAAAATTATTTCTTGGTAGATTCATTTAAGCCTAATTGAGACCTTTAAACTTATTCGAATGACCCATGTTGGCATGGGTGAAGGATGGTGTGAGAAAGAGAGTTAAGTGAGAAGCATAAGAATAAGAATAAGAATAAGAAGGGATCTGGACCCTTGATTGTCTTTAATCTCAAACCCACCCATGAATCGCATTTGATACGGGGATTATTCCGGTGCATATCATCCTAATGTGCATCCAAGGGTGATCCCTTCTTACGTTTCTCATTTTAACTCTTCTTCTCACCGAAACCCAACCATGTTGGCATATCACCAACATTTAAAATGTGCCTTTGTCTTCCACAGGCCAACAAAGCCTCCAGAGTTCAAAAAGCTGATGGAGGACTATCTTATCCTTTGCACAGGTATCTTATATCGATGCTATTAGTGTACAGTTATGAATTATTATCCTTTCTGGTAGAGGACAAGTCTGCCTAACTCCCGCCCCCAGACCTTTCTCGAGCAGGATATATTGGGATCGTTTGGTTTGATATAGTGTCCGATTCCCACGTCTTTCTTGTTTCCATGAATTAATGGTCACTGATTACTGGCAGAGCTATCAAGAAAAATCATGCGAGGGATCGCTCTGGCACTTGGTGGCTCAGTAGATGAATTCGAAGGCAAAATAGCTGGAGATCCATTCTGGGTATTTCGTATAATAGGTTACCCTGGTGCCGAGGGATTGCAAAAGAACGATGTTGGATGGTAATTCTTCCGTAGCTGGTATTTGCTTTGCCTTCTTTTCCCCCTGATTTACACGTTCTCATTTAAGCATGTTTTTCTTGCTGTGTTTACATCTCTTGTCCAAATAAATCCAGCGGAGCCCACACCGACTATGGTAAGTTTCTCCAATTCAGACTTGGGATACCCTGGATTATAGTGTTGACCAAGTTTTTAAAAAAAAATTGTGATGTTACAACAGGTCTATTGACATTGGTTAATCAGGATGATGACAAAACTGCACTTCAGGTATCCTCCTGCTTACATTGATGTACTCATTTGATCCCTTAGGGTGCGTTTGGTACACTCGACACGACATTACAAGACAGAACACGGATTAATGGATTATTGTTCCACATGTGGCAAGAGTTCTATCATGGAACGAAGGTTTATATTTTACCAATATAGTTTCAAAATAAAACTTAATTCTCTTATAATATAGAAAAGTTATAAAAATTACATAAATTAATCAAAATATACAAAAAAATAAATATAAACAATTCATGAGGAGTAAATTGGTCATTTTATCTGTTTTATCAAACATTGAACAAATGTTCTGCCTTGTTATGTTCTGTCCTATCCTGTCTAGATACCGAACGCACACTTACGGTGAATTTGGTATGCAAACGAGACTAGATAGGACAAGTGAGAGCAAGGTAGGGGGTGAAAAAATTGTGCAAGGTTTTAATTTACATGAGTAGTTTAGTAATTTACCAATCTTGTCTCATTCTCTCTTTTATCTTTTTCCACCTATTTTGGTGGGACAACATTTTTTACCCACTCCGTCTTGTAGTCTTATGCCATTCTAAATATTGCACCAAATGTGAGACAACAAGTTCTTTTTCCATCATATGTCCTGGCTCGCATACAAAACAAACCTTTAATTAGTGATGTAGAATCACACTTCCTTTTCTCTAGACATCTAAGTATGGCCTTAACCTTCTATAGCTTATAGCTTATAGCTTATAGCTAAGCCGTTTACTGATCGCTTATTAGCAAAAGTCACCGCACCCTCATTTTACCTTATTGGGTAACATTATCAGTCATCAAAATGGATTGTTGGTAAGCATCTTTATCCAGTAAGCGCTTACCGAGTAAGTCTTTTCCCTCAATTACATGGTAAGATTCTTGGTTCTTTGCTATGCCTCTTCCCAGGTAAGATCCTCGATCCTTGCCAGCCATGCTCATTCGGTAAGGGAAGTGACACCCGGTAAGGACTTTCCCTATCAGCATTGGTAAACGGCCCCTTAATTGATGGTCAGGCATGTGATTCAATTGTACTACTATGCTTTAATATATATGCAATTATTTACCTTGACCTGCATCTACCACCGGATTCGTGAAGGTGAGAAACGTTTCAGGCGAATGGATATCAGCAGTTCCCATTCCTGGAACATTCGTCTGCAATATCGGCGATATGCTTAAGGTATATACAGCAGCTCGAGATTTTCCGAATAAAAAAGTACGGTATTATCTAAAACCTCGATTGATCGCAGATTCTAACAAACGGTCTTTATGAATCCACATTGCATCGGGTCGTTAATAACTCCCCAAAATTCCGAGTCTGTGTGGCTTACTTTTACGAGGTTAGTTTTCTCTCTTTTTACGCACATATCATAATGTTCGTTTTCGTTCTTGATTGATCTTGTTGCCCATTTCGTATCGTGATCAGCCAAACTTCAATGCTGCAATAAGTCCCTTGGATATGTGCGTAAAGAAGAGTGGTGGGAATAAGAAGTTTGAATCAGCTGTTTATGGGGAGCATCTAGTTAGTAAGGTTCTCACAAATTTCACTTATTAAATCAAATGTAACGGGTCTAGTGTATCCCATCTGGAGGTGCGGTCGGTAGAGGATGGTATGTATGTCTTAATTATCTCATTTACTTTCTAGTTTTCTCTGTAAACTTTGATAAAACAACTGTAACAATAAGAGTTCTTTAAACAAAAATTTGAATTGGTTAAATAATTCACATATGCACTTGTTTTGCCATTTATTTGTGAAAGTTACGAAACTACTCATCAATCTTCCACATACCATGCGAGGAATTATCCGGTGCTTTAGAGTCAAAACCGTAAATCTTGATCAGATGAAGGGCTAGGATCACTTCTCTACTTCTCAAATACTTACTATCTATACTATATTATAAAACATTTGACAAAAACTCTTAAAGACCATTTTTTATGCATGAAGTACTGTTTATTGATGCATATTACTTAAAATTTAAGATTACAAGTAATTGTATATAAGTACAACTTATTAAAACTCCATATTTGAATTCATATAACTAACTGTAGATAAACATAATCAAATATTGGATAAACATCTTATTTTAAATATAAAAAATCAAAATATAATTAGGATAATTATTGAGTTCTAACAGAATACTTAGTTATTATCTATATAAAAATTATATTATTAAACCTAAATTAAATTTCTTTGTTGGTAAATCTAAATTAAATTATAATTAAAAAAATTGAATTAACGAAATTACACTGAAATACAAGAACTTTTAAAAATATTAATTTGATATCGATATCGATATCATTTTTTTTTCAAAATTTTATGATATTTTCAAATTTATATTTTATTCAAAAATAAAAATATTATCATTTTTTTCAAAATCACATAAAACTGTATTATATTGACATAAAAAAAATAAAACAAAACACTGAAATCAAGATGTGTCTCGATGCAATGTACGAGTACCATTCTAGTTTTTCAAATGATGCTACGGTCATGTATGTATGTATATATCTTTTGAGAGTTTATGTATACTTTTTAGCAAATGATTATGTATATATCTTTGGAAGCATAGAACATTCACACCAAAATACCAAAAAAAACACAACTAATAAACCCTAATATAAAGCATTTACAATAAATAGATTGTCTTAAAATATTAAATCAAGTATTATGCTATATATTAACTCAAAACTATTATGAAATATTTTTTATCATTATTGTAGGATAAATGTATCATCATTTAAAGGATATAAAGATCTATATAGATTATAATTAGGGAAAAGTACAATAAAAACCAATGAACTTTTTTGTTTGGAATGATTAAGTTCTTGAACTTTTTTTTGAAACAAATAAGTCCTTGAACATTCCAAAACATGTTAAATAAGTCATTGGACAATTTTTTGGAACAAATAAGTCCTTGGACATTCCAAAATATGTTAAATAAGTCCTTGAACATTCCAAAAAATGTTAAATAAGTCCTTGGACAATTTTTGAAACAAATAAGTCATTGAACAATCCAAAACATGTTAAATAACTTCTTGAACTTTTATAAAACATGTTGGATACATTCTTATGACTTGTACAACTAGTTAAAGTGGTAAAATAGTGAAAAAAAATCCGGAAAAAAACCCAATGAACATTCATATTTTGAACGATTAAGCCCCTAAATATTTTTTGAACCAAAAAATATTTAGATCTATAAAATTAAACAAATATAACAAAAAAGTACTTACATTTAAAAAAGATTTTGATAAAGTTTATTTTAATTAAAATTAAAATATATTATGTCGGTGATTTTTCAAACAAAAAAAATAATTATTATTAAATTTATTTTAATTAAAAATATATATATCATGTGATTTTTTAAATTAAAAAAAGATTTAAAAAGATTACTGGTGAAATTTATTTTAATTAAAAATAATATATTTTATAATTTGTTTTTATTTTTTTAGTTTAAAAAATCACTGACAAAATATATTTCCGGATTTTTTCACTATTTTACCACTTTATCGTTCAAAATATGAATGTTCATTGAGGTTTTTTCCGGATTTTTTTCTCACTATTTTACCACTTTAACTAGTTGTACAAGTCATAAGAAAGTATCCAACATGTTTTATAAAAGTTGAAGAAGTTATTTAATATGTTTTGGATTGTTCAAAGACTTATTTGTTCCAAAAATTGTCCAAGGACTTATTTAACATTTTTTGGAATGTCCAATGACTTATTTGTTCCAAAAATTGTCCAAKGACTTATTTAACATATTTTGGAATGTCCAATGACTTATTTAACATGTTTTGGAATGTTCAAGGACTTATTTGTTCCAAAAAAAAGTTCAAGGACTTAATCATTCCAAACAAGAAAGTTCATTGGTTTTTATTGTACTTTTCCCTTATAATTAATATCTATCATAGCTATTTACTTATATCTTATCTCTATTTAAAAGAATTTTTAACTAATAAGAATTAGGGGTTGTTTAAACAAATGTTTACTCGGTAAGCACTTACCGATATGAGTCAACACTATAATTTATTTTTCTGGGTAATATTGTAGTGTATCAAAATGATATAGTATGCAACAATCTACTCGGTAAGCATTTACCTGGATAAGAGTCGTTACACTCACTTAATGGATAAGACTTTTCATTTTTTCACCACTCTTACCAGGTAAGATTCTTCAATATTTTACCGTTCTAACCGGGTAAGATTATAAACCCTTACCATGTTCGTTCGGTAAAGAAAATTATCAATAAACACTTACTGGATAAGCGTTTAATAATTGATGTCAAACTGATATATTTTTTCCTTTGTTTTGTTTCGATTATTCTATAACGATTATATTATTTTCCCCGATATTTTTCAGACCCTAACGGTTCCTTCGCACCCTTTTGCCTCCAAAACTCGTCGGCGGCGGCGATGGTCAGGCTTCCAATTCCCTCCTCGTCATGAGGTTTAAACCCTCCGCCGCCAACTTCCAACACTTCGCCAAACACCACCTCAACAACCGCCTCATGGCCTTCTCCACTCCCACTCAAACCCTAACTTCACATTCCACAGCCATGGCTGACGCTGACGACCACCTCTGCTCCGAAACCACCGACACCTCCGCCCCCCAACCATCATCAAATCGCGAATCATCATTTTTCGAAACTCCAAACGGCTACTTGACTGGAGAGGCTCGGATCGAGAAAGCGTGGTCTCATTGGAAGAAACTCGGCGAGCCTAAGATGATTGTGGCGCCGATGGTGGATAATTCGGAGCTACCTTTTCGGATCCTCTGTAGAAAATATGGAGCTGAAGCTGCTTATACGCCTATGCTTCATTCTCGTATATTTTCCGAGAACGACAAGTATCGATCTCAAGAATTCACTACCTGCAAGGTACATCTACGGATTGAATTTTTTTATCTAGAAATGGTGTAGTTTCTTCAAACTTATTATTTTTGTCTCGAAATTACAGGAAGATCGGCCATTGTTTATTCAATTTTGTGCCAATGATCCAGAAACTTTGTTACAAGCAGCACGCAGAGTGGAATCTCATTGCGATTATGTCGACATTAATTTGGGGTAAGTAGTCAAACCAAATGAATTCAATACTTGAAAGTATGGTCTTGGTTGGTAATTGAATTGAGTATGAATTGGTAGGGTTTTTTTTTCGAGTGCATGATTTTTTATTGTGAGGGGTATGTTTGAAAGATTCTTGGGTGTCTGCATAAAGCTCCTTAAAATTTTCTGAGTGAGCGACTTTCTATATCATTTATCCACTACCAAACAATCATGTATAGCTAACCGAATAAGCTACAAGTCTTGTTAAGATCATTAAGTTGCTAACAAACAAACCCTTTAAGCTCATTAGGCTGCTAATAAACAGGCTCTAAGTACTTAAATTTAAGCTTATTAAGCTGCTAACAACTAGGTTTACTTATATCAAACAAATCTTGGTATATATCTCTTTGAATGTAGGTTCTGGGTGGATACATGCATGCATGTGCTTGCCCAAAAGAGATGTATAGAATCCAATGCAGGTTCTTCAGACAGAAGAAGATTATGGAAACAGTTACTCGCCCAACCTGACAGCGGACAGCTAATGCGTCCCACTAATTGAACAGGGTTTATGGAAAGTTACAATCCCTACCGCGGAATAGTAGTACTCAAATCAAATGAATCTAGTATATTCCACTTGAAAGTAGGGCAGGGGTGGACCCAATATGGTGCATACAGTGGCAAGGGCCACCACTTCGTTCTTCAGTCGTAGTGTAAAAAAATTTTAGGGTTGTGAAAGGTTACACCACACTATTTTGTTGGGTGCCACCATATGTTCATTAAAACTGCAATAATAACACAAGTTTCTCTTGGTAGAGTTGGTTTGCACGGTCTTTACTCTCCTTCCAGGCGTGGATTCGAGTCCCCATTTGTATTATTTTTTTAGTTTTTAACTTTTAATTTCAAGTTTATTATGTTTCTAAAATTTTTTGGGATAAAAGACCGGAACACAGTACCTTAGTCCTCACATGCAAAAGAAACTAACCAATAGACCAATGATGATATTATAAAAAATATTCATAGCTTCGTTTATTATAATCAAATGGTGTCACAGAGAGAAATAAATTTCTAGGTCTGCTTCTAAAGGATGGTCTTATGTCCCACTTAAATGCAGACATGTTCTCTACCCCGAAGTGTAAGCAAAAATGTAGGAAGAATAAAAACTAGTTAATAGTAAGCAACAAACTATATCAGGACATTGATACATCATAGTCTTTGACTCTTTGGTTCTCGGAGGTGGGGTCTAAGGTGTGAGATGTATGCAGACCTGACCTCTACCTCAAAGAAAAAAACTGCATTGGTGACCTACAATTGATAGCTTGTTATATGCAGGTGCCCTCAGCGTATTGCCAGGCGGGGAAACTACGGAGCCTTTCTAATGGATAAACTTCCCCTCATCAAGTCCTTAGTCGAAAAACTAGCCCTTAACCTCACCGTTCCCGTTTCTTGCAAAATCCGCATCTTCCCAGACTTGCAAGACACTCTAAACTACGCGAAAATGTTGGAAGATGCGGGTTGCTCGCTCCTAGCAGTGCATGGACGCACCAGAGATGAGAAAGACGGGAAAAAGGTTCGAGCAAATTGGGACGCCATACGAGTGGTTAAAAACGCTCTTAGAATCCCAGTTCTTGCAAACGGGAATATCCGTCACATAGATGATGCCCGAAATTGCTTGGAACAGACCGGGGCTGATGGGGTTCTTTCAGCCGAATCCCTTCTTGAAAATCCAGCTCTCTTTGCTGGATTCAATGATCATGGAAAGGTGGATCGGGGTGAATTGGTGGTCGAGTATTTGAAGCTCTGTGAGAAATATCCGGTGCCATGGAGGATGATCCGATCTCATGTTCACAAGATGTTGGGGGAGTGGTTTCGGATCCATCCACACGTAAGGGAAGATCTTAACAAGCAATCGAGATTGACCTTTGAGTTTTTGTATGATATGGTGGACCGGCTTCGGGATCTTGGTGTTACAAGGCCTATTTACGAGGGAACTTTTTCGGAAAGTTTATCGGGGAACAAGGATGGAGTGCAAGTTCATTGCCTCGGGGTGTAAATGATGCGAGTCGAGCTCGAGTATCAATATACTCGACTTGAACTTGGCTCAAAAACTCACGAGTAGTTTAAATCCGAATTCGACTCGACTCGTTAGTATATCGAGTCGAGCGTCGACCGAGTCGATCTCGAGTAACTCACAAGTTGTCTCGTCCCATTTATACCCTTGACTTTGACCAAATCTAGTGCAATGTACAACGTTACTTGTATATGATACAAGTCGTTATAATTAGGTTTTATTTTTCACCCATCAAATTAGATTTACGTTTAATATTCATTTTATATTTGTGACGATTATAAAATATTAATAAACAAATAATCTCAAATTTCACAGCCAATCAGCTTTCACCAGTAACCAATTGCAAAGTCCCAAGTGGCAGCTTCGTAGTGAACTATTTTGGTGGTCTGAAGGCACATTTTAGGAAACAAAGTAATTACTCACGTCTGTTTACCAATAAAATTTAACACTATTATATATTTACCGGGCAAGATTTTAGTCCACCAAAACGACATCGCATGTAACAATTTACCCGGAAAGTGCTTACCATGGTAAGAGTCGTCGCCCTTACCGGGTAAGACTTTTGGTCCTTGTCTCGCTCTTATCAGGTAAGATTCTTGGTCCTTACTATATTCATCCGATGAGGTAATGTGACTTGGTAAACGTTTACCCAAGTAAGCGGCTGGTAAACGGCCCCTAACTTACAGCTGATATACAATAACAATTGAATGCACTCAAATCAATATACAAAACCAAACGAACCCGATAAATCCTATTTAAAAAAAAAGTAGCATGTACGCAAAGCCTACATTTATCCCGAAGAAATAGAGGTTGATTTCAAATGGAAATTGTTGTATCGGTATAGCTCTATCATGAACCAAGTGAGAGAGGGAATACTATGGTGGTTTGGACTTTGGACACGTTCGTTGGAGACGGCAGCAACTGAGGATAGGGCGATAGGTGGCATGGAAGGCTTAGGTACTTTTGAGATACGAATTATTGGAAATTTTCAACATCCAATTTAGATTGGTCGGTTGTTGGATGGTAATTCATAACTGACCAAACCGATAGATGTCAAACGAGCCTAAATACAACAATATAGAACTTATATCAACAGCTTCTTGTATGTTAGTTATATTTTCACCTACTCGCTAGTATTCCCTGCATTTTTAAACTTTGAATAATCGTGGCATATGTTTTCTATAATTTGATCAAAGTGAAGATGTTAATGCAACTGGGAATAACTTGTATCCAGTTGTATCTGACAACTTGATCTCGAGTTTCTCCTCATAAGGTAGATCAAAGAACCTGTGTGTCATGTGTTTAACCTCTTTGATAAGAGGATCAGATAATACCATGACCTTTCTGTTCAAATAATATCTATTAGCAACTAAAAAACATGACATAGAAAGCTGAAAACATATCACAACATGCAAGTAATATCAATGTAGTCAGGGTGCATTTGGAATGGAGGAGGTGGGCAAGTGAAAGGTTTTAAGGCTTTAATTTGACACGAGTAGTTTAGTAATTTACCAATCTTTTTAAAAAAAATGCATTTTGTCCAAGTTGCTTCTTTTTTTGTCTGACTCGCTTCCTTTTTTGTGTCTTGCTCAGTCATGTCCTCTCACAACTTGAATGTCGGATCAAACATGGGACAACTAGTTTTTGTCTTGTCTCACGTACCAAACTCACCCTTAATAATCACAAAGCTTATGATGGCACACAGAACGCGGTTACCACGTAAAAGAATCCAGCTTCTCTACAAGCAGTGACGGATCCAAAAAAAATTTGTGATGGGGGTCGAAATTTAAGTAAGATAATATTGCGAGTCATTACCACTACTATCGGTTAGGATATTGACATTTCTCTTTTCAAAAATCTTTTCATTTTGTCTAGTGAATTAATATACCAATTTCTTTTGAAACATCATTTTATTTTTTGAAGTATATAATATTTATATATGACAAATAGAACAAATAAACTCACATATTCTTCTCGCTTTTTGTAAGGTTTGAACCCTTGACCTCCTACGAAGTCAAAGACTCACATACTTTCCTCACTTTTTGTAAGGTTTGAACCCCTGACCTCCTACGAAGTCAAAGACTCACATACTGTTAGGTCAAATGCCCTTTGGTACATCTTTTTATTTTCCTAGCTAAATGATCAAATAATTAACATTTAACCCTAAACTTCTTTAGAAAAAACATTAGACATGAAATAACAAACACTAACCCTAACAATTAACAATAAAATATTTCATAGTAAAAAAATGCAATTTATTGGAATTTTGATGACATGATATTTTTTGTATAAAGATAATGATGTAGTATTTTATCGTATCAAAATGACCAACGATTCTTTTGTATGTGAATGTATTTATCGGTTGGTTGTATAAAGTTTATAACAGTTTTAGAAAATTGTATGTGTACAATAATTACTTGAAATTTAAGAGAATATGCATTGCTAAACAATACCCAATACTAAGGGCATGTTTGCTAACAACTTAATTAGCTTAATGGGATTCACGGCTTATTCGGTCACTATATATGATTGTTTGGTAATGGCTTAACGATATAAAAAATGGCTTATTTAGTAAGATTCTAGGGACAGCTTTATGCAGAAAACTATTTTTTTCCAACCCTTCTCTTTGCAACTAAAAAACATGTTCATTCCATCTATGAAAAAATTCACCCAAACAAAAACGTAAGTCCGCCACTATTATGTGTGTCTATCGGTTGACATCTAATGAATTTAAGTATATCTGATTCGATTTGATTCAATCATTTAATGAATGTTAGATTTTATCATCCAATCTAATTCAGTTAGCATTGTACACCCGATTCAGTCCAATCCAATAGATGATTGGATTGGATCAGTTTCATCCATTAGATGTTACTATTGGTTACTTTTTGGATCAGATTGGATCCTTTCGATATTTTGATACAATTTTCAACCAATTATATATATATATATATATATATATATATATATATATACACACACACTAATACTACTACTACTACTACGTATATATCAACTAAAAACAATATCGCAAGACCACAATCGAGCACTTTAAAGTCGGATTTAGAGTCTATAGAGGAGCATTTGAAGTTGAAACGTACATCTTTGCAAGTTTTTTTTATATAATTAGGAGAAAATAACATTTATGGTCTTAGAATTGTAACTTATGAGTTGTTTGTCTACCTCTTAATAGTTTCATTAAGAGGTAGCCTCTGAATTGTTAAGAGGTGAATCTTGTTTGGGAAAAAAAATATGTCTCTTAATGATTCTAAAATCATCTGAATGATTTTGTATCTCGGACATCCCTTAACCATTCATCACCATAATTTCATTGTAACAATTATCAAACAATTATATCTCATTTTGTATTATATCATGAAAGTTTTTTAATTATTCTAACCACTTAATCATTCCGCACCAAACCTTTTTAGCAACCGTCAAACATACCCATCATGGTATAAAACACATATTTTAACATTTTAAATCAAATAATCCTACAAACAATTATTAAAAACTATATTAATAATTCAACATTTTATTATATCCAAAGTAAATAATATATTTATAATTATATGCAAATTAAATTTTTACAAAAATATTTCAAGAAAATGAAGAAATTTATTTAAAATGAACCCAACCCCCACCCAAAATTTCAAATATAAATAATCAAATTGTACAACGGCTATGATTAAACACACTTGCAGTCGCCGACTCGCCGGAGAAGACGACATGCCCTATATCGCCGTCGTGGAGTAGTGGCTCCGGCAAAACTGGTGGTTGTTACTCTCCTCCGTCGCTCTTTCCACCATATAATGCGCCAATAAATCCTTAGAAGACTTCACCAAATTCTCTTTACACAAAAACTCATCACTCGATACCCTCTCCACTTCCCTCTTATAATCATGCACGAAAACATGAGTTTTCCGGTTGCCGCCCTTTTTGCTTCTTGCCAGCACGCCGGCGGTGAAGATCGCCGACATCCTCCCCGGCCCTTCCGGCCAATACCCACGTGGCCCATCCACCAATATGATATCCCAATCCAATTCGTATAATTGATTCGGAAGATCGTTTAATCCAATCTTACATTCGGAAAATAACAGATTTTGCACCGGCCGGCATTCGTTACGTGCTTGTTCTCTGACGGAAGTCACAAGTTCGTGAAGCTCGCTGATTTTGGTCGTGTATTGAACATCGTAAGCTTCGATTTCCGGGTGTTTCTCTTCGATGTAGGCAGCGTAGTAACGGTTTTCGTCGATGAAAACCGTCCGGCCACGGTGGTTCAAGGCGTTCCAGAGAAGGGTTTCCGGCGTGAGGCCGAAAACAAGGAAGTTACAAGGGGATAGACATTGGCGTAGGACGTCGGAGATTTGTTTAATGTCGGTGTGGGACATGTGATCGGAGCTGTTGGTGTTGGCGGCGTAGTGAATGAGAGCTTTGGCGATGGATTTCGGTAGCATTTGATGGTCGAGGATGGTGGTGGTGGTGGTGGTGGTGATGGAAGGTACGGTGGCGGTGATGGTGGTGGAGAAGGATTCGCGGGTGTAGACGAAGGTGAGGAGGGAGGCTACGGCGAAGATGGAGACGGCGGCGATGAGCCAATATAGGCGGCCGGAGGAGCCTTGTTTTTGAATGTAGGGGTGGAGGAGGATGAGCTTTGTGCCGCCATTGTTAATGGTGTTCTTCATGATGGTGGTGGTGGTGGTGGTAGAATGAAGGGTTTTTTGGGTGGTTTTAAAGAAGGAATTTGGATTGGAAAGCAAAGAAGGGTTGAAGCAAAAGGGATTGATGGAGATGTACCAATGGCCATGGTACCACATTTGAATGTGAGATTTCATCTATATTTTATTTTGGCCACCTAATTATAAATAAATATTATTTAAATTTACTAGAAGAGTATTCGTGCAATACATTGAGACACATCTTGATTTTAATGTTATATTTTATTATTTGTCTTTGTCGATGTTATAATACGATTTTATGTGTTTTTAAGAAAGCAACAATGATTTTATTTTTGAATAAAATATAAATTTAAGGATATCATAAAAATTTGGAAAAAAATATATATCAATGTTAATATCAAATCAACTATTTAAAAGTTTTATTTTTTTTATGTAATTTGTTTAATTTATTTTTTTATTATAATTTAATTTAAGTTTAATAATGAAATAATTTATTTTTGGTTTAATAATATAACATTTATAAAGATAATAATTAAGTATTCTGTTAGAACTTAATAATTATTCTAATTATATTTTAGATTTTTTATATTTAAAATGATATGTTTATCATGTATTTGATTATRTTTATCTRCAGTTAGTTCCATGAATTCAGATATGGAGCTTTAATAAGTTGTACTTATGCACAATCTAATTGTAATATTGAGTTTTAAGTAATATACATTAATAAACAGTACTTTACGCATAAAAAATGATTTTTAATAGTTTTTGTCAAATGCTATATAATATAGTATAGATTAAAAAATAGTTTTTAAAAAAAAACAAATATTTTTGAAATGTGTTTGTTCATACAACACAAATTTGGTGAGGATGATACCCATCCACACCACAATGTTCTTTCTTTCCCCACAAAATTATAAGATTTTTTAAAACCAACCTATAGAAATATAAAATAAATATATTTTAATGTAATATATTTTCCATCGTACCATCAAAATCATAAATACAGTTATTAAGAATGTAGACGAAAATCGTGTAAGAAAAAGAGTTAATGTGAGAAGTGTTATTCTCAAACTCACTCATGAATCATATCTGATACAAAGATTGATCTGATACATTTCATCCTAATATGGATTATGCTTCTCACAAAATCCAATCCTAGGATTGTAATTAATGACATGTTGGTTGGTGCTTTTATTTGAATGACAAATGAATAAATTTGGTCCCTGAGGTATGTTGTTTTTCACGAATTTGATTCTTGGACTTTATTTATTATAGATTTGGTCATTGTAATATGCATTTTTTTTATGGTTTTGATTCTTTGACCAAACGGCCATTTATTTTGTCCGTTAAATCTGAGGGCATTTATGTCCTTTTGGTGTTTATAACATTTTTTTTCCTTCTCTATTTTTGTCTTTACCTTCTTCATTATTTAAATACTTGCGTATATATACACACATAATCACAGGCACTTTTTCACCTCGCTCACTCTTCCGGTCATAGGCACACAAGACCATCGTCCCCAACCCTAGCCCCTCTATCTCCAGTTCGATGACCCTTCTCCTTCAATCTCCGGTGTCAACCCCCACCACCCACATCCTTCATTCCTTCTCCGATGAAACCAGGTACAATTCCAACGAAGCCCATCTTCCCCGTCATAATAACCGATCCCGGCTAACCTTGTCTTCTCCGACGAAAACGCCTATTCTCAGGCAAAACTCATGAGAAACACCTCCCTATTAAAATCATCATCTTATCTTACTTGACATTAACAAGAGTCCCTAAAACATAAATTAAAAACCCTAAACCAAACCCCAAAGTTTGGTATGCAGACTACATAAGATGGTATGGGACAAAAAAAAATAGTCACATGTTTGGCATGTCATGGACAAAAAAAACATAGGACAAGGTGAGACTATTTTTAATTTTCATGGAACAAATCTTGAGATTTTTTGTTCCACCAAATAGGGTGGAACAACATGGGACAAAGTACAAAATTACTTTTATACCCTCAAATAAACATAACGGTTTCAAAGCTTATGGCCACTATCTTCCATCATCTCTTCCGGCCACTTCGTTCAATCTCCGACAACCCCACCCGAGTTCGTGACTTCCCCCACTTTGTCATGCCCTGTGAACACAACCATTTCCTTCTCGGTTACACAGGGGCATATCCCTTCCAAATTTCTTTATGAGCATCGCTAGATTTAACTACATCAATGACCTAGCCAATAGTAATTATATGCTCTGTGTTTGGAAAATGAGGAGATGGAGTCCCGTATCGAATCAGATGTGAAGGCTCTGCGATTGTTTTTCTGGTAAGAATTGAAGTTGGAATCCCAAATTGAACCGCAAATTTTGGTGCTTCTATGGCGGGGGCGGGGCTGTTGGCCGCAAATATTGTTCACTGTATTGTGGCAGGGGCGACCACGAAGCTCCGGTAGCTTGGAATCCATGGCAGTGATTAAACCGTCGCCATTTCTAAGTGATTGTGTTTGGGAGAGGAGGGTAAGGAGCAGATGATAATGGAGCTGTTTTTTCCCCCTAAAGTTAACTTCATTTTTGGTATTGTACTTTTCTCGTTTTTTAAAATTTTGGTTCCTAGAATTACAAATTGGTTATAGTAATTCTTTTTTCCAATTAACATGGATATCCAATACAAAAAATGTGTTGGAAATATTTTTAAATTACATACGTTTTTCATAGTTGTTATGTTACGATCATGTATACAAATTTAGAAAATAGAATAAATATTATAGATGTAATTATTTAAATACATTTTGATTGATTTGTGTCATTAACAATCATTATATGATGCAAAATAACATTAGACAATATTTAGGGGCAATCTGGTCATTTTAACAGTTTTGTCCAGTCTTGTTTTAGTTGTACCAAACGTAGGACAGACAATTTAGTCATGTCCAGTCCAGTCCAGTCTTGTGCTGTCCTGTCTCGTCCCGTCCAGTCTGCATATCAAACGCTACCTAAGAAGCAACTATTTTTTACATCCAGATGGAGAGGCGAATGTTTTTGACATTCAGATGGAGAGTTTTGAAAATAAACAAAAGGGACCCTTGTACAATTTTGTCTTTTAATTTAAAAATATTATTTTAAAGAAAAGGTTTAAATAGAAAAAAATAATAATAGAAAGACCATTTTGCCTCTAATTTTAACGGACTTGGTAGATGGCCGTTTCATTCAAGGACCTAATCCATCAGAAACTGCAAACTACCACACATTTTATGTAATAAATGAAATTTGAAGACCAAATCCATAAAAATCAACATACTACAGGGATCAAATCTGCAATTTACCATAAAATAAAACATTAGAATCATTCTAACGTACATAAGCAAGAATCGATAAGATACTTGTATCATGTCAAACGTTAAAATAATTAAACAACATATATTTCGTAACAATCACTCATATTACTATTACTTACATGTAATAGTGTTTAAATAAAAAAACTGAATATAATAAGAAGGTAAGGGGTTGTCTCAACGGTTATCCGGGTAAGGGTTTACCAAGTTATATTGCCTTACCGGATGAATATGGCAATGATCAATAATCTTACCCGGTAAGAACGAGACAAGAACCAAGAGTCTTACCCGGTAAGTGAGTACGACGACTCTTACCATGGTAAGCATTTGCCGGGTAATCTGTTACATACGATGCCGTTTTGGTGGACTAAAATCTTACCCGATAAGTAAATGATAATGTTAAATTTTATCAGTAAGCACTTACCAAGTAAGTGTTTGATAAACATCCCCTAAGCATAAAAGGTTTTGTGAATCATTAAAAGATTAATTTGTAAATCGATATAAATAATTTTTAACGTTTTTTAAATAGATTTTTTTTTTCATTCTTTTAATAATTCATATATAAATCTTTTCTTAATCTTCCTTCTTATATTATTATATTCTCATAATTTTATTTTAATATTATATTTATACTATATTATAAATCATTTGATAAAAACTCTTAAAAACCACTTTTTATGTGTAAAGTATTGTTTATTAATGCATATTACTTAAAACTCAATATTGCAAGTAGATTGTGCGTAAGTACAACTTATTAAAGCTTCGTATCTGAATTCGTGTAACTAATTGCAGATAAACATGATCAAATACAAGATAAACATCTCATTTTAAATATAAAAAATTTAAAATATAATTAGGATAATCATTGAGTTCTAACAGAATACTTAATTATTATCTTTATAAAATGTTATATTATTAAACCAAAAATAAATTATTTTGTTATTAAACTTAAATTAAATTATAATAAAAATAAATAAAGTAAAGAAATTACATTAAAAAAAATAGAACTTTTAAATAGTTGATTTGATATTAACACTGAAATAATTTTTTTTTTCAAATTTTTATGATATCTTCAAATTTTTATGATATCTTCAAATTTTTATGATATCTTCAAATTTATATTTTATTCAAAAATAAAATCATTATTGTTTTCTTAAAAACACATAAAATCGTATTATAAATCGACATAGACAAATAAGAAAATAGAACGTTAAAATCGAGACGTGTCTCGCTGCATTGCGCGAGTACTATTCTAGTGTGTGTGTGTGTGTGTGTGTATATATATATATATATAGGGGCTCATTCAAGGGAAAACTGGTTAGTTTGTAGTATCCGTGAGATCCAATCTCAGCCACAAATCAATAGATAAATTAGGAAATTTTTAATTTTGGTAATTTTTAATTAAAATTTTAATGCAATGACATTTTAGGTATTTTCTCTCCTCTCTCCTCTCTCCTCTCTCCTCTCTCCTCTCTCCTCTCTTCTCTCTTCTCTCTTCGTCCCCGTCTTCCGGCCTGTCACCATCCTCCGGTGATACCACAGTGTGATACTTAAGCACATATAAGATGCATTGTGATACCACTGTGTTACATATCCGATCGACCGCACAAACGACCACATTGTGATACTCAATCACATATATGATGCATTGTGATACCACTGTGGTATCACCGGAGGACGGAGGAC